AAGGTCTGGAAACACAGTTGATTGCTTCACAACAATGGCTATCCTTCCTTTCGGGTCTTCTACAATTTAGATTCCCTGAAAGCAAAGCTGTGGAATAGGGCTAGCTAATAAGTAAACGAGTGAATTGGTCACAGATAAATCACAAAAAGACTCTCGTTCGGTACTTTCGCTAAACTAAACACTTTCTAAATAACCCACTAAAAGCCTAGGAGAGCTCCCCTTGCTCCGCTAAGGCCCTAGAGGCCTTTCTTTTCTTCGCTTCGCTTCCTTTGTATCCTTTTAGTCGAGCCAAGCTTCACAGAGAAAGGGAAGGATCTTGGGCACAAATACGTAACTTTTCACGAAAGACATACAAGAGATTCACCAATGATTGGTTGGACTAAATACTACATTTATTTGCTCTGAAGAAGGAAAGTTGGCTGTGAGAATGATTTCTCGTACGTAGTCTTTCCTAGGACCATTCTAACAGGATGCTCAGAGGTGGGTGGAGAAAAAGCTCAAAAGGGAGTTTGAACTTCCTGCGCTTTCAGAGGATCTAAATCAGTCTTCATCCTTTCGCTTTTCAAAGCCCCTCGCAATAAATATGTAAATTCGTTTCGCAGAAATTAAGAGATTTTCGATCTCCTCGAAAGAAAATGAGTTCGATCAGCAACACCGGTCTCCGCAGCACCAGGATAAAGACCTTCTTTTTACCCATAATCTTTCTCATAAAAAGTAGATCATCTATTAAGAGAATAGCCTTCCTAGGTAGAATTCCGGCTTGACGTGATAGGAGCCTACTGGAAAGCGATTCTACCGACCAGATTGATACTCCACCACACTATAGTAGATAAAGCTCGCATGTGAAAAAGAGTCAATTCACCTAATTTGAAAATCAGGGCCGAACCCAGGTCGGATACGCAAGAACGAACTCTATACGAGAAAGCATGTGAAAAGCATATATTTGTATCCATCGGGATAAAGAAATGCATATTCTGAAATAATGGATGAAATGGCGAACTTGATCCAGGATTCTTTTTCCTTGGGCCAAAATAAATAGTTGAGAAAATGTAGAAGGAAAAGGAGGAGATGAATCGATTCCCACATCGGACAACTGTAAGTGTTTAGAGAAATGGGAATCTGCGGTAAAATGTTAACCTCAAGCTTAACCCTTCTTTAAGAACAATAGGGCCAGAGTGCTGAAAAGGTAAATAAGTTCTGATCATAGTTGTGAAAACAATAACAAAGAGAAGCGCTCTCGAATCAGCTCCGGTGAGGTCTTTGACGAATGCCTGTAACCAAAGAAAGGTATCAATTGTACTTAGTGCTTGACGTATCGAATCAATGATTGGAAGGTATCAATTTTTGACTTTTAGGACGTCCTATCCAAGGACATGAGAGCATTGATGAGTCCCTGCAAGGCAACTAGACTGTAAACTACTCCTTCCTGGTTAGCAGTGGATATTGCCAAGTATTCCGATCGAATAGGAAGCGGTCAATCAGCTGCTCATGGAAAGTAAAAATAGCCCTTTCTTCTTCAGTGCGTCTATACAAGCAGTGCGCCCACAAGCCCACTTGAATGACTTTAAGTGCCTTTCTCAACGTGTCGATAGACAAATCCTACCAATGCAAGGTAATACACTCGTTTACAACGAATAGCTTACAGTCTCTGTACCTATCTTTTTTCTTAAATAACTATATTGTAGTGGTTCGACTTTTCTCAAAATAAAGATTGGGCTCAGGATTGCCCATTTTTAAAGAGAACTTTGTATCTAGCTCAGTAGACGACTTTCCCCGCAACTCTTTCCAAAAGCTCCAACGTTGATTTCTTTCTTCCAAGACTTGCTTTGGCCTGAGGTTAACATAGGTTGCTACCTACCTTATATAGTACTTTATTTTCTAGCACATAGAACGCTGCAGCGCAGCTACCATTTATTTTCTTCCTAACTTCGTAAACTTCTCTTTCTCATCCAGGAAAGAAGCAAACGTTAACCTAACTATTTGCATCTTTAAATCTCAGTCTAATTAGTCTCCACTGTGTTAGTTAAGAGTTCTCAGCCCATTGATTGGTTCCAGCTCAGCCACTGCTTCATTGCCAGGCAATTGGAGTGGTAAACCCTCTACATGATTTGGCAATGCTTGTACCAGCTACCTAAGATTAGGGATGCCCTTAATAGCAAGCAGGAACTGGAGGAAGAGGGGACTAGATACGATATACGCTGACTATATCCAATCTGACCTACTAGTAGGGCATATCTTGTGCATTATTTGCACTACTTTCTTTATATAAGGATAAGTTGATAAAAAGTCACTACTCATAGAAACTTGAGTCGGTACACTCCAACAACATTTTCTTTTGCTCTGTTTCCCCTTGTTGCCCTTGTCTTTTAGTTAGTTCTCCCGATAGGGCTTTTCTAACTCTCAACAAAGAAGAAGCTCCAGTAAACGACAGTTCTTCCTTTCGGAAGTACCGTTGTAGGATATCCACTACAGTATAGATATATGATAGCCTCTACCGGTTCTACTCCCTTGATGGTATGCTTCTCAAGTAGGGAAGTAGGTTTGGTTGCTTGCCCCGGATCAAAGCATTTGCACCATGTGTTTCAGATGAAAAATCTTCTCATCTGCTTTCCAGCATCAAACTCTGACCAGCAAACTCTGAATATGATTACCTTGGAAAAAGGTTCCACCAACATGTTATTCTTGAACTTATGACCAGTTCTCTTTTTCTTCGGGCTCTTAGATCTTTGAACTCCCAATCGATGAACTCTTCATACTTAGCCGGATTTTAGCAGGGTTTTTACTTCAGAGTTTCTAGTTAGGTACTAATTTACTATCCGTTTCTCGGTAGGTGGATCTTACATTTGTATTACTTTCTACTAGCCAAGCTTAGGAATCAAGACCAAAGTAAGCACGCACGGTTCCAGCCAGGCCAACCAATCCAGGAAAGAACGTTGAAGTAATATTGGAGTTTTGCCTGCATCTCCCGTGCATCAGGGAGAGTCATAGTCGAAAGGGAATCAGGGTCGCAGCCCTCTATTGAGGGGCCAGCACTTTCACCTCGCTCTTCCTCTTTTCAATCCTTGCCTTTGATCAATTCTTGCATCTTTCTACTCTCTACTCAGAAATTATGAGCCTCTATGGCAGAAATTCAATCGATTCCACCCTATAATCCAATTTACCACCTACCAAATCAACACCGAACTTAGCCATGATCAAAGCAAAAAGTGGCTATCCTAAATTAGACCCACGGGCTCATGGTTTTATATCATAGATAGATATATAAGCTTGTTTTGATTTTCCCAAGCCTACTTCACTCATCTAACTTTGAATGGGAATCCTTCGTCTTTATTCGCTGGCTTATTTTCTCCTTCCGAAGGGCAATTGGGAGGTAAAGATCTGGGAAAGAGTTATTTGACATGGGCCTAGGCTAGTTGTCCTAAGAAGGATCACCCGTCGAGAGGGCAGCGAAGAGTAAGTAGAGAATTACTTTGAGCTTGTACCTTCAATATTCAATGAAAGATTTAGTACTTCTTGGATAGCCCTTGAGTAGTGCTAGGAAACGAATCCTGTAGTTTACGTACGTTATCAGTAGTTTCTTTCCTTTGCTTGACAAGAAGGTAGCAGAGGGAGTGATGGTGATTGAGAAAAGATATGGTATTTGGGGGATGCAATACGAAACTATATTATGTCAGATATGCGGAGGGCATACTAATAGGAATTCCGAAGATCAAAAGAATGGATAGATGTGGGTACCTGCTGCGAGATAAAGTAAGGAACCTTCTTCTTTCAGTATGCAAGAGTCTCGGTATTCGAATAAGATGGTCCAGGATGGAGGGCAACAAGCTGGGGGAAGAAGGAACCGAGGAATACCAGTCAGGTACAGGGATTAGTACTCTCTTTATCCGATGAGGGCAAAGTCAGAGCTTACATTCCCATTACAAGGTGGAAAGAGAAACTCTCCTTTGACAACTTGAAAGATAAAAATGGGCGAAGAACAAAGAAAAGATGGGTGGTCCCCTTCAAAGCATTTTCTTGCAAGGGCCTATCGCGAAAGAACTCAAGCCAATACTTTTTAACGTAGTAGATCCTAGGAAACATACGTACGAGATATTTAGAGCCCTTCTTCGGCAAGGGTATCCGGTAAAAGGAGGACGGTTCCTAATCTTTTGATCGGCAAAGGGTTCGATGCATTGATTTTCGCCTATGAACGAGTCAATCAGCTAGATCTACTTGCGGCAAACGGCACCTTCCTTTCCCAGCCAATGGTACGTAAGGCAATGGTTGTTATTGAAGTTCAGATCAGGGAATACCCTAGGTTTCGGCTTTTTCCACGGTTCCGTAACGGTAGGTTTCGGCTCCTCGCTACATCCCTTCTGCTCCTACTAAGGACGCTGCTGAACCGATAGGATTTGCTGAGCGAGCACTACCATAACTTATGGTATCTGACCAGTGTTAAGCATTAGCCAACCAGGGAAAGAAACTAAGCGACTACCTGCGCTGTCACACGGCTCCATTTATCGAAGAAAGGGATCAGACTGCTGCCAATAAGGCAATGAAATTGACGAGGAAGAGTAAGGAGTTTGGAATGACAACTAGTCACTTCTTGCTGAAGATCTGTTCAGTGAAGGAAGCTTCACTATGATGTGTTAATGCCAATGGAGGATATGTTGCATGTTTGGTGTCCAAAGAAATGAGGATACTGGAACTAGCTTCTGGGGTCCAAGGATACCTCCGCCTTTCACTTTCATCTCTTGATACCGAAATTCGCCTAAGGTCTGGCCTTCTACTCTACTTTGATTCAGATTCATTTGTCGAGAGATAGTGGATAGAATGAATAGTAGAAGTTCCGCTGTAAGCAGTTACGAATGGGGAGGGTATCATTAAACCCAGTCTTCGCTTAAGACTTATCTAGTTTTGCTCCCTACTCTCAAGTAAGTAGAAGGGGAAGGGATAAACCTAAACTCTGACCTATGCTGTTGGTCAGAGAAATCCTCCTCTTTTAATAGAACTATGCGAACAACAATTTAGAAAAAGAGGGATGGTAGAAGTCCTTGCGAGGTAGAGCAAGACAAACGGATCTATCATTCCGCAAGAAGTGAGTTGTTTCCTTTTCAGGGTAATAAGAGGAGTGGTGCCTTTAGATTGATTTTCTTGCCTTTATGCATCTCTCTTATCAAGTTATTTCTGACATCACCCTGGTCTGGAACATAGATCCACCCCTTCCTTTTTCTTTGTCGCTATTGCGAATCCGAGGATAGAACCTTTTTCTCGAAGTAGAGATGGGGCGCAATCGAAGTTGCCGTTGAAAACCTTACCATTGTAGGATCTACTGCCGTCTACTACTATACGAGAATTTCCATCATTTCTATTGGAATAGCCGAGAAAGCAACAACTACTACTATTGACTTATCAAAACCTTTGTCCCGGGCCTTACCTCCAGTAGGAAATTGAACCGTACTTCCGGACTTCGCTTCGTTGACTTCCGCATTGCCGTGCTCTTCTCGGCCCTTGTCTGCTTTGCTTTGCCGAGGGCGAGGATAGGAAAACCGTACCCACCTTTTCTTTTAACGGAAGCCTCTGAGCCTACAACTAGATAATTTCTCGGATGACAATACAATACTACAAGCAGGATGTGTGGGGATACAAATCCTTTAGATTTCGCTAGTGCAACGCTCGTATTGACCTTTAGCTCGTGGGAATCAATCGCGCGTTTTTTTTTAATATCGTACGTAGGACTACGAGTTGATGGAATCCAAATCTTATGCTGATTCCAGTGATGTTGACATATTTTCACATATATCATATTCCACTTGATCGATATACCAATTCCTGAAAAAGAAGAAGATAGTGTTAACCAGTTGGAATGTCATGAAAGCACTTACTTCCGAGACAGCCTGTCCTCGGCTATTTCATTATCAAAAGCGCTGAGTTGGAATCCCATTCTAAGGATTCTTGTGGTTCCGGGGCGATCCAGTCACCCGGAGAATCTTTCTTTTCTTTGCTGATTCCTCTCAATGAAATTTCCCATGTTGCACTAAGTTACTTACGGATGTATGCATGCAGTCCGGGAACACTTTGGGGTGAACACCCATCCAAACAAGTAGGGTCAATAGTTCAGCATTTAGGCCGTAACATTTAGCAACAATCAAATCTTTAACCAACAAGTGCTCTCCGAACCAAGCTAGATAGTCTCCTATCACTAGGCTCACCAACCAACCCGGACTTTTTCTTTTTATTATTCCTGCCAAACCCCCACGGAGCGGTCAATTACATCTTTAGAAGTTCAGTCATAGAAGCGAAGTACCAAAGGCTTTCGAGGCTTACACCTACCTTATTAGACGACCGGCTTTCAGTAGCGCCCAACGAATCTAAGCCTTTTGAAGCGCTAGTAGTTGTAACTGTGGCCACACCAACCCTTTCGTTCTTATCGCTCCGGATTCCGATCTATATGACCTCCGGGTGGTACAAAGTCAACCTCTTCCGTAGAAGCAGGCACCTAACCTTTAATAATTTGTTCGACGGTCTTATCGGAAAAATCTCCATGTGTGGCGTGATAAGGAATCCTAGAAAAGACCGATTGCGACTCCCTCCACGGTCCCACGAAGATCTCTACGTACTTGTTCCAGTGTGAGATCTTCCGGTCTGCGTGGGAGCAGCTCAAACAAAGAAGAGTCTGGTCCGGTCTGAATTCAGGCACGGCCCGCCCGTCTGCTGCTAGGTCCGGGAATGGCGCCAGGCGAGGTCGCCGCTATGCCCCAACATGAATTGAATGGTCCTTCGACCGAAAATGATTCCGACGGCCTAAATAGATTGAATGAGACCGGACCACTATTATGGAGAAAAAAGCCCTGCCCTTTTCCTTCGCTACTAGGAAAGTAAGCAACTTCTATTTTAGTATTAGTCGAGTCGAATTGATCGTGTCATGTGCAACGTCCATCAATGATGGTTCATTAATGTTCATTGATTTAGACTCCTTCTCAACTACGAAAAAGATCGAGAGGCCCACGGAGCGGTTCGATGCAATTGACTCTTAGCGAAAGGAGAGAAACGAACGAAGCGAAGCGAAGTGAAGTCAAGAAGAAGTGAGACTAACAGAAACAGAACTTTTCGAAGCAGCAAGAAAACGGATGCGCGTTAGCGCAACGGCTTTCGCGCTAGTTGCTCAATCCGTTGCTTGTTCAGTCATAGAAGTTTGATCCAATATTGACCGGGGACGAGCCCCGACTTCCATAGGTCCTTGGTTTGACCTCCTAATGACTCAAGTCGACCAAACCTCTCCTCTCCTCGGATTTATAGTCGAGATTCTTTAAAACCTTTCCGTCGTTCGATTACATTGACCTCTCCTTTTAGTCGAGACTCACAAGCCCTCCCGGGACTTCACTGCGCTTCGCTTCGTTTGTTTGGTCGAGATCTTTAAACCTTTACTACTTATGACTTCACTGCGCTTCGAAAAGTTCGTTCCCTTGCTTTTAAGAAAGCTCCGCGGGGCCAATTTCTCTGCTTAGTGTGCCCCCCTTTCTTCGAGTGCCCCGCCCGGTTCACTGGGCTGTTGGCCTACCAAGCACTTGCCCGCTGCCCCTTAGCCCGCCAAGCTAAGGAGCGCTCGTTATCCTTACTTTGCTCCCTCTATTGATAGATTAAGGGCCCTCCCATTGCTCTAGCCATAAAGCTATGGCAGCTCCAGCTCGCAACCACAGGGGCCTGCCCTGCGAGGCCAGAGTGGGCTCAGCCTCCATTCGAATTATGTTAGGGGTTCTTTCGCTTTTGCCAGATCTAGAGAGATACTACAAGTCCTCCGTCCCAGATTCCATCGCCGCGGCCATCTGGTTCACCGGTACTACCAAAAAGTCTCATGCTTACCTTACTCTTACTGATGGTTTGATTATCTTGGACCACAAAGACCCCAGTCGTGCTTCTGGTTTCCATTCCCATTATCATATTGATTCAAAATCTCCTCGTGCTCCGCCATAAGAACTTGGAGTCCGTATCATGGTGAAGCCCACGGAGCGGTAAGGCTGTGATTCTTGCTCAAAAAAAAAAGACCGAACGCGTTCGAGTTATTGGCTCGTCCAACCCGGCAGCATTCATGAATCGCTCGTTCAACTGTCCCTCGGAGACAGGGTCGAGAACATTCGCCACCCTACGAACTTTTCGAAGCGAAGTGAAGTCATAGAGGTCCCAAGATACGGCTCAGCCAAAAAAGGTAAGCGCCTAGCCCGAGCCTTTTTATTCTCGCGTTTAGTTTTAGTAAAGTCGTAAAGAAATGGATAAAAAAAAGGGGGGGACTTCTCTTTTATCTCTATTCTATAAAGGCTATGCCACCCAAACCAACTGAGGGAAGTCGCATCCGTCCCATCGCAAGCACCTACAATGTCATGATCACATTGGTTTACCCTTGTTTTTTTGGTAGTTTAACGGACGGTCGCCCCTCCAACAAGAAAAGGTATAAATATGGAAACTTCTCTGCCATTTGGATCGGAGAATTTATGGAGGAAATCGGGTTTGAAATTCCCAGAAACCGCACGATTATATAGCCAAAGGGAATAGGCCGCGCCTAAAATCATCCCAAGCGCTGCTAATGTCGCTACTAAGCTATTTCTTTGGAAAGCTCCTACTAAGATGAGAAATTCCCCGATAAAACTGCTAGTACCAGGTGAACTCATATTGGCCAAAGTGGAAGAGAAGAAAATGGTAGGGAGATTCGGCATGGTGCTCACTGAACCTCCGTAATATCTAACAAGTCGAGTCTTATGTCGGTCATATAGAACACCAACACATAGAAAAAGGGCTGAAGAAACCAGTCCATGACTTGACATCGGTAGAATGCTACCTCCAATTCCCTGTATGTTCGATAGAGCCAAAGATTCCCCCCCACTGATCGGAGTACGCCGATTACCCCCCGAACCGTACAAGATAGTTACCACCTATCATACGGCTTTCTAACTGAACTTCTTTTTTCTGGTCGTTCCGCTCTGTCGATCGATGGTAGTATAAGAGATCTGTAACCCCCAACAATTATTTACATAAAGGTTCCTGCTTCCTACCCATAGTTAGCATGTATCTCCCCGGGTCATACTTGAGTATCACATCGTAGACCCCACCCCAACTCTATCTTCCTTATCAGTGAATCGGAACATAGTGCATAGGTACTCTTCGATGCAGCGGGGACGAGACGACGTGACATACTACGATCACGTACAATCTATGACTGAACTTCGTTCGATTACATTGACCTTCGTCTCGGCAATATGGAACCTCTCAACAGCTCCCGTTCTTTTATGGGGTCCTATCGGGATAGGTAGGCCCAAGCCTTTCCCCTCCCTCCAGAATCCCGAGGGGGAAAGAGAAAGAAGAAAAAAAAGGAAGAATTTGATTCTTTCATTTGAACTCTTGTATCGAAAGGGAGGTCCTCCTTATGATGCTACAGATGGCTGTCCGAAGTGCAAGGGCTCGGACTCGGATAGGATTGTGCGCGTCGGGCCCTTCGGCCGTAATATTTTGTTACGTTCTACCGCTCTTACGCCAGAAAGAAAAGGTTCCACACGAGCTCCCGTTCTGCGGCGTGGTGGCAGGACCGCTAGGGGGAGTGGCGGAGGGTGTAGATAGGGTTCAATCTGCAGAGGTCATGCAAATAAATAGGCCCCTTCTCTTTTGGATGAATGGGGTGCTTTAGAAGGCGCTTTCCGATCACATATCGTTTAGGGTAAATGGTTTTTAGGGTACAAACGAAGCGAAGTGAAGTCATAGAAGTTTTTGGGTCGATAACATATGCTCGACTATAAATCCGAGGTTCAAAGATCTCGACGTCAAGGAGAGGAGAGGAAAGACCCTCGGAGCGAAGGGTTAGGCAGGTAGTATGGGCCCTCTGACTTCCAGCTATGTGCTGTGCGNGCGAATGAAGGGAAGCTCGAAGAGCTTACGGGTGAGCTTACGCTTACTCTCAGCCTCTTTGATTGGTAGGCGGGCGGGCTAAGCCCCCTACTTAAGTAGGGCTAATTTGATCTTGTCGTGACGCTTTGGTTGGGCCGACTACTAACGGTTAGGCTAGCTACTTCTAGCTTCTATAGTGGCCCTTCCACTTTTGCGTAGTTTGAGTTTGTATTGGTACTGAATGAACATATCAAACAAAGGCGATCATGCCATTTTATATGTATAGAGAGATCCCCTAGATAATGAGATAGAATAGATATGTTCATGGATAGACATTCCATTGATTCTCCGGGCGCTCGTCGATCCAAATGAATCATTCTTCTGGTCTCTCTTCACTCTCCGCCCCGAAACTGACCCACGGCACAGCGCCCATTCGCTTCGCGCGCGGGAAGGCAACGAAGTGAAGTTCATCAGACCGCAGCGGAGTGGAGCAGCCGCGACACGACCTTACCTTAGCTGGATCTCGCTGGTGCCACCTAAACGGTAGGTAGGCGGCGGATGTATGACGTTTGGAGTTGTCCGTTCGTGCACCTGTCCCCAATGGAAGAATGAGTGAGATTTTCCCCTGCATATCATGGCCTTACCACTCGGTCCCCGATGGCCAGCGGGGGATTCGGTATAGCAGCTCACGTTCGTTTGCGCTGCGCCGCTGGACTGGACAATCTTAGCTGTAGGAAGTATGGTTCCGAAAGTGACTTCGGTTCGCTAGTTCAGGCTCAACTCCTCGCTTTACGTTAGCGGACCTACTTATAGGCCGGGGCTCTGCGCTCTTTCTTTCTGTGTGGGACGATACCGGGGAGAGAAGGGAATGCGTCGAGGCGGCGAACAAGACAACTACATTTTGGCTTTTCCCTCCATGAGATGAGCCCAGTGCATTGGACCGATGGATAAGAGAACTGAGCTGGCCTAAAAAGAGCTTGGGCGCTCTATGTACGATGTAGACTCCATCAGATACATATCGATTTCTTTCTTTTCTGATGGATCATGAAAAGATAGTTGTCTCATCAATAGATAGTCAATTACATCGAACCGCGTAGTGGGGTCGATCCTCTCCCTAAGGTCTTTGACTTCACTTCGCTTCTTCCTTATTCTTGACTGAACTTCGCTTCGTTCGTACACTGCGCTTCGAAAAGTTTGTATCGTTCTCCTCGAATCAAGCTTTTATTGCGACATGCTATGTTTTCTCCCCCATTGCTAGTAGGTTGATGGGTCGCACGCCCGGCACACATGTTTTGGCCTTGTGTGTCCATAACTCAAAATAGGTGACCTAACGGCCGCCGCCCGACTAAACATACCAATAGTCACCAGATTCATATGAGCTACTGAGGAGTAAGCTATGATCTTCTTAAGATCGATCTGTCTTAAAGTGGTCGAGGAAGTATATATTATAGCAATCGCGCTTGGAGTATAAATGAAAGGAGTGGAACAAAGTGTCGCTTCGGGAAACATGGGTATTGAAAATCTTAAAAACCCGTAGGTTCCCAATTTTAAAGGAATTCCTGCCAAGATGACGGATCCTGCCGTAGGTGCCTCTACATGAGCTTCGGGTAACCAAATATGAACTGGTACCATAGGCACTTTGACGGCGAAAGAGGCGAAAGAAGCAATCCATAGAAAGATTTGGCGCCGCTCACTAAATTCTGTGGTTAATGAAATTTGTAAATCGGTGGTTCCTGTTTGGAGAAGAATCAACAGAATAGCTAATAGCATAAAAACAGATCCAAGTAAAGTATAAAGGAAAAACTGATATGCTGCCTTGATCTTTCTTTGTCTCGAACCCCATACCCCTATAATAATGGTAGAGTAAGGGGTGGCCCAAAAGCTCCATTGACCGGTGGTGGTTGGTCGAAGCTCCAGTAAGTAGCCACTCCCTTCTCAGAGAACCGTACGTGAGACTTCCGCCTCATACGGCTCCGTCCCGAGCTTCCGTCGTCGGCCTTGGCATTAGACCACTATCTATGCTCAATTACACCTTTCCTTCACTTCTAAAGATGTAATTGACCTTGACGTCGTCAATGTAACCTTCCCTCTCCAGAGACTGAACTTCGCTTCGTTTCGTTTGTTGGCTCCCTTCCGAAGGAACTCTTTGACTGAACTTCGCTTCGTTTCGTTTGTATGGTCGAGTATCTGAAAACCTGGACTCTCGAATCTTTTGCTTCTCGGGTGGTGGCGAACAATGGTGCTTGCGTTGCAGTATATGCCCGCCCGAAAGAACCGCTCACTAGCTAGCCGGACTAGTGGGGCCCTATCTGGAGACATACTGAAATGCCTTTCGAACCGTACAAACTTTTCGAAGCGAAGTTCAGTCATAAAAAAAAGAAAAAAAGGGGGAAGAAAGATGGAGTGCGACCTGTAGAGCACATGTAAGGCACAGTCGGGTTGCTCACGCAGCGGATCTCTCTCTATCTATAGATAGTACGAGAGGTGTGAAAGGAATAGCCTTATGTTATGGCTGCCCCTCTCCTTACGTTACGTACGCTACGACTACTGTGATGTGAGCGGTTCAAATTGGTTTGATCTTTCCCAATCATTCTGGACGGAACTTGTATGGAGGCATAAAGGTTTGGAACTCTTTTCTTATCTGAATCTTAAGGACAGGACCCTATTCTCGAACCCTCTGCCGAGCTCTACCCTGCCCGGGCCAAAAAAATGTCTCCACCTGCTGCCTAGTTGGCTAATAAAGGGCTTTCTTCGGAATGATACTGAACGGGTCGATCCTCCCCTCCCCCGTTTGTTTTAGCAACTTATCCGTCGGTCTCCTCACCAAGAGCTCGCCGGCGACGACAGAGGAAGCAACCCGCCTGCTGTGGCGGGGCGGCTTTTTTCTTTCACAATAAGACCTGGACGATTATCCCTACCCTCGGTAGCTTACGAGTTTACGTCCATCCCTGGTCGGGTACAGTTTCCTTTCGATTTCTCCCTTGTAGCCGTTACCCGAATTCGCGCAAGTGTGTCCACACCCCCCTTCCCCCACCCATTCGTTTAGGCTTGACGAGGAATCCATTCTCGCGAACAAACACAACCCCTACACACACCTAGGAGCACCCCTTCCTGCATATCCATACAAGACCCGAGTAGGCGGGTCGAGGCCCTACGAGGTACCCACTACTCGGAGTACCCTCCCAAAAGGAAAAAGATGTGTCTGTCAGGTTCGGTTCTTCTTAGTTGGGTTGGGCGGGTTCGACCAGAAATGCTATGCTTACACACAAGACTACCCCTCTTCCCGAAAGCTTCGCGGGGACTATTTTACGACGACGGACGACCGCCCGTAGGGGGTTTACTGCACAAGGCCCCTGCAGAGGAAAAGCTTTATCCCAGCGAATAGAGGATGCTCAGCTCCGCACAACATAGGGATTGGCACACTTTCGGGAAAAACATAGAATAGTACCGGATCCAGTATGCAGAACACGACGATCATTAGAAATTCACGAATTAGAGATGCTGTAATATACTCTTTCCCATAACTTCTCATACCAGACCAACCCACTAAAATGCAAATAGGGATCAGAAATGTGGTCAATATCACGAAGAATAAAGAGATACCGTCTATACCCAAAGAAAAATTGATGTTTTCATAGGGTACAAACGAAGCGAAGCGAAGTGAAGGCATAGAAAGAAGGCTTTCCACAAATTGAGATTTGGCCGTAGAAGGATCGAATTGTATCCGAAGAACAGGGGAATACAAAAAAGTAATAAGAGAGGCGCACAGACCAATCAATCGTATCGGTCGTATTCTTGAATTTGGAATGAAAAGAGGAGTAATGCTTCCTAGCACGGGAGAAAGAATAAGACCACTTAGATCAAAATACCATTGTTCTAACATAGAGTAGAATCGAAGATTGAAGAGATTAATTGACAACAGTCAAAAGATAGGCGCCTAATTCCAATACAATAGGGGTCTATCAGTACAAGTCAGCTGAACACCGTGATTGATGAGTGGGTAGGTGGGTTAGGTGCACCTCTCGCCCAGTGGGAAGTAATGAGGCTAGTCTCCCCCCCCCTGAATGAAAAAATATTGGGCCCCCTGACCCTTTTTTTTCTTTATTTTTCATTTCTCTGGCAAAATGCAATTCGTCGAGTTCAACCCAAGGTGCACCTTGCCTTTTTTCAGGTAGTTTTCTTACGCCTATTCAGCTAGTGGGGCATTGGAAATTCGTCGAAGGGATAAAAAGAAGAGAACAAAGAAAGTACTCAAAAATCAAAGTTAGATAAAGAAGTGTCAGTAAGAACTAGCACTAGACTTCTTCCCCCTTTTCGACTTTTCCTCTCTCCTTTCTCAATTACATCGACCCAACGAACGAAGCGAAGCAGCAAGAAAACGGATGCGCGTTAGCGCAACGGCTTTCGCGCTAGTTGCTCAATCCGTTGCTTGTTCAGTGAAGGAAAAGAGCCAACAAACGAAGCGAAGTGAAGTCATAGAAGCGAAGCAAGCCCACACTGGCTTTTCATTCTGTTTTATAGAGGTTACATCAAAATTCATGTATAAAGGTGAGTTCCCCGGCATACTCAAATCAAATCCAGGATGACGGCTTTCAAAAGAACGAGTAAGGGACGGGGAGAGGGATGCTCTCGAAACCAAACTCCGAAAGAACGCGGGAATTAGCACCATGAATATGAGTGCTTTTGTCTCGAAGAGACAACAAAGAAAACAAAGTCAATTACACCAAACCGTCGACTTCACTTCGCCAATACTTCTGACTGAACTTCGAAAAGTTCGTTGGGTTGGTTGGTCCGGAAAGTCATGGGAGAGGCGGGCTAAGTGAAATAATATACTATAGAATCTTATGAATCACGCACGGCACACTTGATATATCTTCTACGTCTACAAGGTGAACAGCTTAGCTTACAGCACAGCATGTTCGCCACCACACTGGCTGGTGCATTGGCCTTACTGTAATAAGAATAAGTCCGAGAGGTATGACTCTTCGATTAGAACGCTCCGTATCTCGTGACACCCTTATTTATGGGCGTAGCATTTCTTTTTTAGAAAGTCCTACTAACATAACTTCAAAAGATTCATATGAATCAAGTACCATTCAAAGAAAGGTTGCATTGCCTCTTTGAGTGAAGAGAAGAAGAGAAGGGCTTTGTATAGACACTGAAGAGCCATGTTCTAAGCCCGGCGGCTTACCATTATTTCATTTCGTTCTATTGATTGGTTCTAGCTCCAAAGAACATATACATGGAGCTATGTCGACTTACGTACGTCTCGTTGACTAAACGATCAGGTATACCACGCCACGTATCATCCCCTCTTTCCATAGAGGAAAGATAAAGAAAAAGAAAAGATATAGTGATCGTGCCTTTATGACTTCACTTCGCTTCGCTTCGTTCTTATGGTCGAGCTACTTTAAACCTGTATGTACAGGCTTTTCGAAATAGCATAAATTCAGGTAATTACCAGGCTGCATTAGACTTCATTCCTTAAAGGAATAGGTCCGCACCTGGCAAAGGGGGGAAGGGGGAATATAATGTATTATAGACAAATCTATCTTATCCGTATCTTCTCACTCTTCCGTCAGGGTCGATGTAATTGAGATAGCTCAACTCCCTATCTGGTCAACCGAAAGAAGACAGAAGGAATATGACTCCATAGGGCTTACTCCCTCACTCCTTACTTGCTCATACCGTTGGGAAGGTTAGCTTTTTCACTCATACTGGTACACCACTGGAGAGTACCTACTTTACTTAGTGTCGGTACTACCTTGGCCATGAGGAGTTAGACAGAAAGTCTCCTTCGCCCAGCTAAGGCGTGTCATCCGTAACCGATTGTTCATTCCTTAGGAGGTTAGACAGCTTGACTGTACCTGCTATTCCTTCTGCCTTGGAGAGGAAGGACTGCGCTTTAGTCCCAATCAGTCAATCAAACCAGATCAAGAAAAAAATAGTCGAGCATAACTCCCATTCATCTAAGAGAGGACAGTGGCTTCAAATGGTATGGCTTACAGGTCTGATTCCACCCCCATTTCCTATCAATATCTGAACTTCCTTTTTGGAGTGGAGAGAGAGTTATATGTCGTACCAAAGTCAGTAAGGTGGAACCGAGCGAGAAAACTACAAGCGCGCTAGCGCGTTACGGCTTTCGAGCCTACACTTGCTCCTCTTAACGGCCCTAGCCTAGCTTCACTGGGAGGTACTAGTAATAGAGATGCATAGTCTAAAAAGATCATAGTCTAGGATAGAAAAAAACTTAGTAATAAATCAAAGGTGAATCGGGCGAGCTAAGGCGCATTTCGCCGAGTCAGGCAAAAGCTAGCACAGCACTGAACTTAAGACAGCGAGAGACAGAGCAGCTAACTTGATTAGTTCTTAATTGCTTTTCAAGGGTTTTGAATAGTCCCCTATTAGGGACTCTTCAATCTCCTTGGATGTTGAAATCAAAAACCTCTTCTGGCTTTATCAGTCCGATCTAAACGTTCTAACGAGAAGCTATTCGGTCATGACTTTCAGGTTCAGTTGGTTCCGTAAGGCTCTTTCAACCATTCCTCTTAAGCGCAAGGGACTTAAGTTTGGCACGGGACTCTTATCTCTAAGCAAGATGATTCCCCTTTATGGGGCTAGAAAGCGCCTCTGATGGGTGGAATCTTGGGTGGTAGTCCCCCTTTCGTCTTCTTCGTCTTTGGGAAATCAGGTACTTAAAGAGTAAGCACTTTCATCGATTTAGGGAACTACTCCCGGGTGGTAAGAAGATGCCCCGGGTCCTATAGTTCGGTATTCTGCCGCTACTGGTCGATCGAACCAAAAGAAAAAGCAGACAACCCAACTCACGTGAGAGACGGTAACGAACCCCTAATCAAGATTCCATGCGGCCTCTCAGACCTATTCAAAGATGGGTAATAAGGCTGCCAGTGTCTTTTTTTTAGATAAGGAAGAAGGTGCATGAGAGAAAAGAGGAAAATATAAGTCTGTCGGTCTATTTTGCTGAACAGCGAAGTCGGAGTTAGATCACTATCAGGACTTTCAGGCTGACTTATTCCGCGCTAGAGTTCCTCTTTCAGGTGAGGATGCAGGCCTTTTCACTTTACCTGGCATGGTCTAATCTACTCATCTAGGCTGATTAGAGGCTAAAGACTGATCCTAGGCATAGATCTAGCTCTAGCTTCTCTCCTTCCCCTTCTGAGTCATATAGGATGCTACCTGTGTTCTATAACGAATCTATCCTTGCCACTATATCTATAGCTATAGCTTGTCCGTCCCATCCAAGGAATAACACAACTACACCCTCGTCCCTCATATGAACCTATTCATTTCTTTGGATAGATCGCCATGGAAGAAAGATTTTTTATTCACGCTTACTTCTTTGAAAATTGGCTTTCCTCATTCTCTTCTTTTAATAAGGCTATGAGAACGAAATTGGATTTGTGCTACTTTCCCAAAACAAGAAATAGCAGTAGTAGACCTTTGAAGGTCTAGTCGGAATGTCTTGGAAAGAATGCCAAGTTCTCTAGCAAAAGAATAAGCGCCAACATAGCAAGATAGGAATCCGAAATACGAATTGAAGTTGTCAATTTTCAACTGATCATCAGGGCTCGTGGAGGGTAAGATAGAAAGGTCTCGTAGAGCCTTTGTTTTTTATTGCATAGATATAGGGATGGCTGCACTCGTCAAGTAGAGAATCATATAATAAAGTCAATCTTCATTCTCCTCTGTCAAGAATCATGTCTTGTAACTATAATACGATAAAACAAGACTGAAAATACTAAGGAAAGAAATGAGCTAGTTATGTTTTAGATTTCAGATTAATAAAAGTGGTGCAAAAGAAAAGCTTCGTAGCAGCTAATTCCCTTCCTTCGGTTCGGTCCGTAAGCTTCGTAGCTTCGTAACCAATAGCTTCGTAACTAGTAGCTTCGCATCAGGAGCTTCGTTTGTGAAACCCATAAAAGCTGTGAGAAAAAGAAGAAAAGCTTCGCGATGTTGCTGACGGTATGGAGCCATAGTGTTGGTCGCAGCCCCGATAGTCATCTTACTGGGGCAAAGGATGGTGTAGCTATCTCTCGGTTTTGGTCCTACTTATAAGCGCCATTATGGCTGCTAAGTTAGAAGTAGAGGGCGATACCCCGAGAGCCTGTTCAACACAGTGTAGCTATTGAACCTTCCTTGGTGTCCGCCTTCTTGTCGCCCTTCCCGGAAATAGCCCATCATACGCTAGCGTGCTTCGCCTTCCTGTCCTTAGGTACTCGCGGCACTCTTATCTACAGGACCGTTAAGCGCAGAGGATGAGCGAGGGATCTCTCTTCCCTATCTCCTTTGGGGTGTTCTCGAACACTACTATACGCAATACTTCGAGTCAACCCAAGAAAGACTATTTCTGACTTACTTCCTTAAACCTGGAACGAAGGGATTCCCTAGTTGGGAAGCCCGAGTGGAGTTAAAGCTTCGTAACAGGTGTAGCTAAACGACATGGCCCTAGCGGCCTGAGCGTCTGTGAAAAACCTGTACTAAGCTTCGCCCAGTCCAGTACTCGCTTCGTTCAGTCAGTTTCGTAACAGTAGCTTCGCTCGGTGCAGGTACTGTTAAAAACTGTGAAAGAAAAAAAGCTTCGGAGCCACAAGAGAGGGATGCCTGACATAGGTATCCCGAACGATAAGGAAGCTTACTTTTCGAGAAGCTTCCGTACCAAGAAAGCGCGTTCAAGTCTTAGTTTCGTTTTTGACCTAAGAGAGCGCGAGGATCGGTTAAAAGGGAGCTGACTTGCCGAGCAGCGAGCTTTTTCGGGGAAGGGGGGAAGGGACGGTTACGGGTGACCACCCGCGAGTGAAGGAATAGAGGTTTTTGGATACGAAGACGCGAAAGGAGAGGATCGATGTAATTGAGTTGAGAAGAGCTCAAGGTCAGGCAAGGCAGTCTAAGAGGCTAAAGAAGAGTTGGGGTAATGTTGTGTGTGCCAATTTCAGTCATTCTAAAAGCTCCTTCGTTTATGTCCCCGATCAAGCTAATAATAAAAAAAGACCAATCACTTGCTTATTCGCGCTTTCGGTTGCAGATGCGATTTTTTATGCCATTCTTGCTTTCGGTGGAAGAGAATGACGAAGATCTAGGTCAATTATATCGAGCCTGGAGAGGCCAAGTGATGGGTTACGGTTCTGCGACAGGTTCAGTTTCGGTTGGAAATGCCTTTTTGGGTGACTCTTTCTGCATGCTTTATCGGTTCCAGGTGTCGAGGCCGACTTGTCTTTTCGATTGATTGGCTGATTCTACCTTGGCAGAACCATAAAAGCGGAAGGTTCGGACAAGAATTCCTAGGCATTTCTTAGGGTACAAACGAAGCGAAGTGAAGTCATAAGTAGTAATTGACGAAGTTCAGTGAAGGTTCAATGTAATTGAAAGCGCCTTTCTCCAACTCAATCGGGTGCTATCCCAGAACACCCACCTATTTTGTAAGTCCGAGCGAAAGGAACGAACTGCTTCTGACTTTCTTTCATAGGAGTACTCAAAGCCTCAAAGCTTAAATTACAGGACTGACTCGTGGAAGAGCGAGCAGCTACTAGTAGGTCTTTACTAATATCTGACTGCTTACCTTTTTACGGGAGTTCGAGACTACGGGTAGTTTACCACGGGAGTGGACCTTTGAAGAGTCCTAGCTGAGTCAGATGTTCCATTAGAGTTTCTAAGGCAAACCCAGTGTGGGCTTGCTTCGCATAGGCTACACAAGCCAGGGTCGGGTATTAGCTTTTCCAGGATGGCTCATTATTCTAATCGAAGGCGTAGCGTACTCTTCGCTCTTGCTCTCATTTCCAGCTGATATCTTCACCAAAGGCCTTCCTGTACCATCGTTAACCGATGCACCCTCTTAAAAGCCTGGGATTACGAAAACTTGACGGGCCTGACACTCACTGAACAGGTGGAGAGAAAGAACTATTCTAAACGGAAACAGAGGCTGTCCTCCTCTCTTCTATGACTTCACTTCGCTTCTAAAGTATGGTCGAGCATCTTCAAACCTTGGCATACTTGCAACGAGGGCAGCAAGTTCGGCTTTGCGACTAAGTGCATCGGCTACCACATTAGCTTTTCCAGGCTTGTATTCTAGCTTGTAGTCGAACTCGGCCAAGAAGTCTTGCCATCGAGCTTGCTTGGGAGTGAGCTTCTTTTGTGATTGGAAGTAGCTAGTGGCAACATTGTCGGTCATGACTACGAACTTGCTTCCCAACAAGTAATGTCTCCATGTGCGCAAGCAATGGACGATTGCGGTTATCTCCTTCTCTTGGACCGTATAGCGCCTTTCGGTGTCATTGAGCTTGCGGCTTTCGTAGGCAATTGGATGCCCATCTTGCATCAGCACACCACCAATGGCAAAGTCAGATGCATCGGTATGCACCTCGAATGGCTTTGAGTAGTCGGACAGCACCATAACAGGATCTTGCGAGATAGCTTACTTGAGCAAAAGAAGGCATCTTGGCATTCTCTCGACCAATTCCAAGCTTGATTCTTCTTGAGCAAGTTGGTGAGAGGGGCAGCTATTGCGGAATAGCCCTTGATGAATCTTCTATAGTAGTTCACAAGGCCTAAGAATGAGTGCAATTCGGGCACCTTGGTGGGAGGCTTCCATTCTTCAATTGCTTTGATCTTGGCGGGATCCATCATTAGTTTGCCATCTTTGATCCAATGTCCTCCCTACCCTCTCCTCTCCCTATGGTCGTCAATTGAACCAGGACTTCACTGCGCTTCGAAAAGTTTGTATAGTCGAGAAGTCAATGGAAAAGGTACCATACCAGCGGGGGATATCTCAATCGAAGTCTCCAAATCGAGAAACGTTCTAATTGCCCTTAAATCATCGTTTTAAGCCGCGTTCCGCTGATTAGATAGTCAAAAAACCAGATGACGCCCACTTTTTTTAATAAATGGAAGAATTTCAAATCGGCGTATTCCACTGCCGTAGGGACGAAGGAAGAGACTAAAGCAAATCTCCTGAGCGAGAACGGGAAGAACGAAGATAACTGAGTGAATGGGATGCGCGTATATGCTTTAAAAAGGGCGGATGCACAAGTACACCAATTCCTAAGGGCCGGGTCTTCCTCAGACGCTGACGCGTCCCTTGTTGACACCCCTGCGGGCTTAGGGTCTTTAGCGCAACCAATACTTTTTCTAAGAGTTGTCCCAAGCTAAAGACAAGGATCAAGAGTCAACGACTCCAAGGTATGATGCATAAACACTTCATGCCAACATCCCTCACTGTTCATTCCATTGCCCTTCTGGTTTACTACTTTTGACTTCACTTCGCTTCGTTTCGTTTGTTGGGTTCTAGGTTTTCTAATTGTTTCCTGCCTTGTGCTTTCCCGTCCTTCCTTTGAATCTGGCTTGAATCGATGGCATAATCAGTGACGTACTGACGCGTGGTCGTACAAAAGCCTATGTGACTGACTTGCCATTGCCAACCGTACGCCGCGTCCTTGATCCTCACGTAGCCGTAGGTCTCTCGTTCCTGAACGAACTCGTCGATGGTCCCTCAGGCTTAGTCCGTTCTTACGCTTCCGGGGGTCTAGCCTTTCCTTCCCTCTCTACAGTGAGGTTCTGTTTGAAGTTATGATTGAGACAACGAGTCATAGGTCCCACTAACCCTTGTAATCACCAAGAAAAAGGCTATTCATTAGCAACAAAAAGAGTAAGACAGGGCGCTTTTTTCTTTCCCTTTTAGACCCGCGTATAGTTTAGTCGTCTCTTTATGCGAGGGTTGATTCTCCAGTTTCGGATGCCTCTGGCTGGGAAGAAGCCCTAATCTTCGAGTCAGGAGAGCAAAGTGAGAACAGTGAAAGCAGAATCCTCTTTTTTTTAGTTTAGAAGAAGGCTTTGTCTCGTCCCTTCCCATTGTAATTGTAGGAGGGAAAGTCAAATAAGCTAACCCGAATGAAAAGAGAAAGAATCAGAGTTCCCGAAGAGCTATAGGGATTGGAAGCCAAAGGCCATAAAAGCCGCATCTTGAAGTCGATCTCAAAGGGTGCCTTACCTAAAGATATTGAATGTCGGCGTAAAGCCGTGTCTTCCAAAACACTTTCATCTTGATCTTTTGTCTACGCGAAGCGGGAAAGAGCTCCTATGCCATCCTCATCAAAATCCAATAGTCAGTCAAGATCTCTTCTACCCTGGTAAACTCGTATATAAAGATAAAGAAGAAGGCCAGTTGTACGGAACTTATTATTACAAAAAAGAATCTCCTGCCTTACTTCAAGCTGCCAGGCGCAGGCAAAGTGTGAACCAATTCCTATATTGCTTGGAACCGAGCGAGAAAACTACAAGCGCGCTAGCGCGTTACGGCTTTCGAGCCTACACTTGCTCCTTCTCTTTTTTTTAGCTAAAGGTGGGCAGGCCTCCTTTCGATCGATTACCGGAGTCTTCTATTCGAATCCTCAACCCTTACCAACCTACTCGACCGTATTCTACTCCCCTGTTGCTGCATCAGCTGCCTACTCTGCTTTCCTACGCTTCTTTCTTTGTCTTTTCCGCCGGCTTCTAGGACCGGTAGCTTCTATCCTCTTTTTATGCTTATCTGCATTCCTTATCGAACGAGTGGAATACCAGTAATGAAATGAAGCAAGGAGCGAGTATAAAAGAGGATTCCTATATATGTAGTTGCAGGAGTCGTACTCCCCCATTGCTGTATTCTAGTCCCCCGTTGCTGCGGGATGGGTAGGACCTTTCGCCCCTTGCTTTGTATTCCTTCCCGTCTTTCCTTTGTTCTTTCGATTGTAGTCCTCAGTTCTGCGAATTCAAGTTTAAAACAGGAATTCTCTTTCGTTTTGAAATTAAATAGCAGTTGATCTCAATTACATCGACCCTTGGTCTTGGTGTTGCAGCTGCGCCTTTGCATTCTATATTGAAAGGAACCCCTTCTTTATCGGTTTTCCTACGCTTCCATAGGAGTTGTCTTCGGAAAGGGACAAGAGCCAGGGACAACCCATACTAGTATTGTATAAAAGGAGTTGTAAAAGGAGTTCCTTTGAACAGACGCTCGATATAATTGACCTTTCCTTCACTTCGCTTCTAAAGATTACATTGACCTCAGTGTCTTTGCTTTGGCAGTTCCAGGAAGCGGATTGGCTTTCTTTGTGACGCTGCTATGGCATATATGGATGTGGCTCATTAGCGTCTCAAGTCGGTATGGGACCCATCTCTCAATGCGATCAAGCTTCTAGCATCCATCTCAGGTAAGGGCTGAGCAACGGAACTCTACTGGACCCCTATGATGGGATCGAACAAGCGCACCAAGCAAGCCTATGAATGTAGTATGGAGCCGTTCTTTCTGCGTCATCCCATCCCCTACTTCTACATCCTGGTACCCTTACTCAGAAATGGAGTGCGGCCACCGTCAACCGCATCCGGGGGTCTTGTGTTATCTACCAGCCTTATTACTCCCTCATAGGGCTTGTGACCCTACTATAGCACTTCGGTCCTCTACTGCGAAATGAGTTTCATAATCAGTTGCAAAAGAACTAGAATGAACACCATCTGGAGCTATGTCTTCAAGTCTATTTATGTAGGTAGGTCAGGAGCAGAGGTTGTAGTATAGTAGTTCAAAATCCAACTTCTTAAGCAGGGGAGCAAAGTGAGACTAAAAGGATACAAACGAAGCGAAGCAAAGTTCAGTCCCGGTTCAATTGACGACTATAAATCCGAGGAGAGAGGTAATTGAGAACGGCAGTTTCACTTACTTTTTATGTATGGTGTACCTTCTTCAAACTGGCCTTTGAACTTTAGCAAATAGTCCATTAGATAGAACGGATAGAGCTCGTTGGGGGTTTTGCTAATCGAAAGCTTTTCTGGAGATTTAGCTATTTCACTCCGGGATAAAACTAGCTAGGTTTAGACTTGTCCCTCAGTCTTGTTATAACCGATTCACTTTCACTCACCGTCTCCTTACCACGCTACCTTTGAATAGCCAGGCATTTATCTTGGAATGGTAGACTGAAGACCAAACCTTCATTACATTACAACAAAGCTTCATAAATGACCCAACAAACGAAGCGAAGTGAAGTCAAATTAGTCTTTCTTAATAGAAAGAGGCTGGTCTTGCCGGGTCTTTCTCGTTTTGAGCCTGGTCTGGTAAGTAAGGACTTTGCCTGGTATTGACGCGTCTTGTCTGCTGGAGCGAAGCGGCCAGTAGCTTTTCCTTCTGATTAGAGTTATAGGGCATAAGAAAGAATAGTTGATAGCGAAAGCACTTCCGGGCGACGGCCTGACTCGAGGATAATTCAATTCACGATTGTTGAATAAGCCGTGATTGCTAACGTATGTAATTTAAAGAGAGTGCCCAGTGGGGGATAAGCTTTTCTCTCTGTCCTGTGTGTGCTATTTATAATAAGGAATACCTGTCCCTCAATCTGATTCTGGGCATATTATACTAGGTTCGATGTAATTGAGTTCATTCCTTCCTATTCGATTCCAAAGAGTACAAACAAAGCGAAGCGAAGTGAAGGAAAAAAGAGATGTAGTAGAACGAGAAGAGAATCAGCGATCTATGCCTTACGAACGTAAACCACCTCTTTAAGGTCTTCAGTAGTTAGGGGGCGCGGAATGTTATCTCCTCTTAGCGAGTATGGTACCCACTTCTCTTATTGGCTGTTAGCGGGAGTGAAGTCCGCCTATTCTGTTCTCCTTTGCCCTGCGGGGCTAGTTCTTGTTTTCGCTAATCAGCATCCGGGGCCTCAGCTCCGCTCCGATTCGACCTGCTTCCTGGAAATCCCAACCTCTTCTGGTAAGGAAATCTGCTTACCTGGGATAGGGCATTGCTTCTTGAGTACGCCGATACTTGATAAGCAACTCTCTTCTTTGCTTTTATTCACAGAAAAGAAAAGCGCTTGGTTCTAGAGAATACGCAAAAACAGTGCGGCCTACCACACTCTTTACTTTAGAGAGATAGGGCATATGAAAAGGGAATCTTCCAATCAAGGAGAGTCGGCTTACTTTAGTTTAGTAGATGCATGCACACGGACGGGTCCTGCACTCCGGGTTGAGAAAGAAAGATCTACTTACTTTTGACTTTCAATGCTTTTGAGAATCTCCTCCGTCTAACGTAAATAGGGCCATACGTAAACAATTCTACCTATCATCTCTCTTCGGGCCTGACTAATTCCGAAAATCATCTTCGTATGGGCTCCTTTTCTAAGCCCTCTCCCAATTCACACAGAGGCCGAGCTCCATTCATGAAAGGCAGGGGGCGTACCAATACTTATGACTTCACTGATACTGATAAGTCTACTGAGAAACCTGTGTGACAGATTTGCACTATAGTGGGTCATACAGCTGATCGGTGTCGCCACTGACTACAATTATCAGCCGCCACCGGCAAAGCATCTTGCTGCCTATGTTGCCGACATGGAGTTTGCCTCCCCTGACAGTTGGCTCTTGGACTCGGGTGCAACCAATCATCTCACAGCTGATTTTCACAACCTTTCTATGCACTCGGTCTACGAAGGGGAAGAGCTCATTCAAGTTGGTGATGGTACTGGTTTTTCTATTCATCATTTAGGCAATACCTCTCTCATCAAATAGACCGTTGCAATTGAACAATGTGCTTCATGTTCCAGCAATTAAAAAGAATCTGCTTAGTCTTTCTCAGTTAACAAGGGCGTAGTTAATTACTACCAGTCGTATAAACCTACTTCTCGGCTATTGTCAGAGCTGACCTCTTTGACTATCTCGGCTTTCTATCCTTATTCAAAATCTACTTTCTTTTTCCTCCACCCGGACCGACATACCGAAACTGACTTTCTTCTTATTTGTCGGCTTTTTGTTCACATGGGATGTGCTATTTCGCTTGCTCCAAACCCAGCTTGAAGATATGTAGTAAAACGTGAATACGGATCTTCGGTACCCGTACGTGAAAGGGTAAACTTTTGACACAAGCCTCTATCAGCAGTTCAACTACCTACTCCATAGGGGACAGAGTACTACAAGTATAAAAAGAGTGGATCGCTCCGAGCGAGGAAAGTACGGGTATTTGGAGTGTTAATTGTTTGGTGACAAGATCTATTCTTCCTATATCTAACTCTTTAGTTTTGTTGCAAATGCCCACATACATCAGAGTCAATAGCTGTCCTCTATCAAGCACCGGAAAAGTAAAAAGCAACAACGATTACTGATCCACGCCCGACAACAGGAAAGAGAGAACGAGCGAATTCAATAGCTGCCTAAGAAAGGATGGAAAAATAAACAAAAAGTGCAAGTGCCCATATTAAGAGAAGATTACGGTAACGCTTAGAAAGAACTTGCCCGTACTTATCCTACCATTGCCCCTACGAGGACAACACACCTTTTATATCGGGTACTAGTTACTTCATAATACGAAACTGACCTTATTTGTCTTATTAAATCGTAGCGGCTACTACGAAATAGAATTCCCGGAGCAGGCCTACTTCCTGAACCCCTTCAAATAACTATTCTATGAGGTTATATGGAACTAGGTAACTTAGATCAATTAGTTAGTACAACCATCTTAATTCAACACAGACATAGGATTTTCTTTTCATTTAGTTTCTTAGGTTATATTATGCAACCTACTCTATTACCGCTGTTCACATTCACCCCCGATAGGCGCTAGTAAACCATGCAATACAGCAGTTCTTCCACTATATCAAATAGATCTTATAGATCCTACGCAAGCGAGTAGGTCCGTACTTCTCTGTACAACTAATTAGCCTTTCTGTATAAGAATAAGGTATTTTGCTTGTAATAAGTTGATTCTTAACAGCTGGAATCGAACTATGGCTTTCTACTGTTTTTGACTATCTTGAGTTAATGCGCTAGGTAGGATACATGATAAGCCAAATACCAGGGAATTTACTATCACAAACTAGGACTTTGATAGCTTGAACTTCTTATTTACTCCTAACTCATATTGGCTTGGCTAAGCACCGTAACATAAAAACGGAAGCCTTTATACTTGAGTTCGAAACTTAAACGTTGAAGCAAGGAAAAAAAATCGCTTACTTTTAGAAGGAAAGCAAGGGCGGTCATTGTAGACAGCAGCGGCGAGTTCAAGCAAGCGTAGGGCTGATCCCTTTAGGCATTATTAATCCTTCACCCCGTAGTTCCATTATTGGATTAGCTTAAATTACCAAAGGTTAGAGGAAATGTCGTAGATCTCAGTTGAGAGACTGAATGCGGATACTTTTTTGAAGAACGAAAAAAGGGGCGAAAGAAAAGATTTAGGATGAATTGTTGCAGCAGGGCTTCGCTCCTCAACTAGCCCCTATGCATCGCCTATCCTCTTGGTCAAGAAGAAGGACGGGAGCTGGAGGCTCTGTGTCTACTATAGAGCTCTCAATACACAAACTGTGAAGAGCCGGTATCCCATTCCACTGATAGATGATCTCCTTGAGCAATTGCGTGGTGCCACCATTATCTCAAAAATGGACCTCGGGATACCACCAGATCAGGATGGAAGAGAAGGATGTGTATAAGACAGCATTCAGCACCCACCAAGGCCATTTCGAATACAAGGTCATGCCATTTGGTCTGACCAACGCACCGGTCACGTTCAACAATTTGGTGAACATGGTATTCAAACCACTGCTGAGAAGGTTTGTACTCGTATTCTTCGACGATATCCTGGTATACAGTGAAGGGTTAGAATCACATGGTGACCACCTCAGGCTAATGCTCCCCCTTCTACTTTATTTGAGTTAGGCAGAGATTGACATCTGTGGTTTACCATTTCAACCAGAGATTGACTTCTCTTTGAGCCTTAGTTCAGTCTTTTCCCGAGCATAGGTCAAGAAGCCCATAGGAAAAGGAAAGTCAAGGGTGGGGATGGCACGGGTTTGTGAAATTCGCATTTGAGAAGAAAAGGAGATAAGCTTCTACGAAAAAACACTTGAGAAATTAGCTTCTTCTCCATACCTAGCCTCTACGCGAAACCGTGCACATAGGTCTCACTACCTACTTCTTTACCTAAGCAGATGCTTTTTACTTGCTAGCTTACTTGTTTACCTAAAAGAGACTCGCCGAGTAACTGATCTTTTCATGCAGCCCTATTCTATTCATTTCTTATTGTCAATAAGTAGAAGTGGGTGCATACTCAATAAAGGCCCCCTCTAGCCTAGAAATGTAACAACTCTTATCCTTCCTCACTAGCTTACCCAACTCCTCGAGCTGTGAGATATGTAGACCTCTATCTAGTAACTTTCCCGCTCACTTTTCCTAGCTAGCGATCCAGATTCCTCTCCCTACGGTCGAGCTGCTTCGCTCCTCTTCTGTTTTCTCAAAAGTCTATTCACTCCATTACCTAGCCTACCTACTTGACTGAGAAAATTTTCCTACTTTTCCTTACCAAGCTAGCCGCCTATAAGCCAGTCCTATTTATTTCCCTTGGGCCAACCACCGCCATGTCATTTTTTTCAGGTTTAGTTTACAAGCATTATCACCAATCTTGCCAAAAATCTAGAAAGGGCCATAGCTCTTTACTCTGCCTCACAGCACTAGAAGAAGCACCTACACTTTGCTTTTGCCCTATGACTTTCTCTCCTTGTCTGAGGCTAGGCTCTAGAAATAGCATCTTTGAATGGGGTAGGCTTCTTATCTCTCTTTACTATCAAATAAGAATCCGTCACCCCCGATTGACTAGCTAGGCTGACCTTCCAGCCATACTCCATCCAAAGGCCCACGAACGGAAGTGCTAAAGGTTTCATGTGATGCTGACCTCAATGAACCAGACCTCGAGAATTCGTTCATCCCTCTTCAAACAAGCATTGTGGCAAAAAGCAAATAACACAGTGGTTTACTGCTCCCCGGACTTATGAAAGCTGTGCCTACAATAACTTTCTGGAATTCTGAGTCACCACTTTTCTTCAAAAACCACTACATTACTTAAAGGTGTGCCTATTACTATGCCAGGTGCCTAACGTGCGTTTTATTTCCAACCGAGGTCAATGTAACCTTCCCTCTCCCCAACGAACGAAGCAAAGCGAAGTGAAGGAAAAGACTATACTTTAGAAGCGAAGTTCAGTCACCGCTCCGTGGGGAGAGAAGGTAGGGAAAGTACCTGCCGGAAGGGTCTTAAGAAGGTTCACTCACAGGGTCAGGCGAGAGGGGAAAGCAAGCCTCTTTACCCAATCAGTCACTCGCCCGCCAGAAAAGAGAGGTTTTGAATCGGGCTCCCTCACCCACACTATGGAGCTCTTGAAAGAATGAAAGCCTTTTTCGTGGGAATCCCGCTCACATGTAGAGTTTCCCCCGTTTGGACCTTGGAAAATGCACTACTGACTCATCTTGCTACGGGGTCCTCTGGATTTAGCAAACAAGAGTTCTTGTTGGCTCAAAGACGGTACTCGACTTAGTTAATCTATGAAAGAAAGTTATCGAATCGGGTCAGTAAAAGAGCTCTTAGGTATCAGTTAAATGTAGTACAATCCAGCAGCTTTGATGAGAAGATCTCTTAATGCCTTTGGCGTGGCTATTCAGGTTAAAAGCAGAGAAAACTCGGAGATCAAAGTGAGACGCGACTATAAAGGTACAAACTTTTCGAAGCGAAGCGAAGCGAAGTCATAGAGGCTTCTTGTAGGAGGGAGCGCAGAGAAAGTATTTTGAAGCTATATTCTATGCGAAGTGAAATTAAACTGCTAACAAGCGGATAGATCTTCTAAGTCGAATATGTATAGAATAAAGACTAAAGGAGCTGAGCTTTATACGATAGGCTTTGAGTAGTTGCTGATTCGATAGGAGAAGTAGGCGGGAAGGAAGGACCCGGCCCATGTATTGCTGTTCTTGTCTTTGTCTTGTCTTCATTATGCTGTAGGATATACACACTCATTAAAGGAAAGGGTTTTAAGCTAAACCACAAACGAATTAGATGAAAATCAGAATCTTAATTCAGACATTTCAAAAGGTGATATGATGAAATTGTCTAAACCTTTTAATCGATCTCCAGTAGGGCTGCCCCGACCCGGTATTCTCTATTTATTCTCAACACGTAGCGCTCAAAGGTACCTGGGCGGACCACTTGATCGACGATGATAAATGAGGATACATACACAACTGCTGTTCTATCCATTTAAATCGTCGAGTTTAGTTTCATGGCTTTTCCTTTTCGTTTTCATTGGACCGTCTATTGAGAACTCCGATTAAGCGCTTTCTCGCTTTAGTCTCATCTCCCCTTTTGTCTTTGCTTTGTCTTTGGCTGTGCCCAAGCAGATAGGTCACCGGGGAGTACTCAAATTTCTCAATTGGCATCCGCCGTGAGTAAGTTGGAAGTAAAGCAAGGTCAATTGCATCTTTAGAAGCGAAGTTCAGTCATAAAGGAAATACATCGATTTCTAGGTTTCGTCACTCGCCCATGTCCAGGATTCAGCATTCTTGGGAGTCACCACTCAACCCGGGCTAAGAAGTAATGAATTCTGCGCGCACGAGCATTCTTCCTCTTTGTTCCTTCGACATGTTGTTCCCCGAAGCATTGAAAACTCTATGACTTCACTTCGCTTCGCTTCGTTCGTTGGCTCGATAAAATTGACCTCTAATCTAGATACCAGGAAGGAAGGCAATTCAATTCTTTCGTAATGAATGTAATTCTTCTTATTCCTCTTCGATGCAAAGAAAGAATATGAGAGTCTTTGTTAGAATCCGCTTACAGGTAATTCCATCCTAGCTGGAGAGTCAACCTATTCCTATTTATCCTTTCCCTCTTGGATAGAATTCTCAGTCTAATTTAGGAATTTCCTTTTCTTTTTATGCGACAGGTATGGGCCCTTAGTCATTAGGTTCGGGAGTTGCTTTAGCAATTTCACCTGGCTCCAGGTGTCAGTAATAGGGACAATTTTGAAAGATCATGAAGGTGGACAAACCAGTGCTGTTGGGGAAGCCTAGCCTAGATAAGAAAAAATAAAAGAGGNGATCCATGTAATTGAGAAACCTCTGGTTTTTTTTATGTAAAGATCCTAAAGGGACATTTACGCACTCATTCTCTCTCATCGAGATCGGGTACCGAAATCGATTGGACTTCATTCGAACAACCTTCTCCTGCCAGCCCAGCTTATAAGAAAAGGGATTTTCCTTTTGAATTCGATGCTGGACAAGGCAAGTAGACTGATTGCCCTAAGGCAAGTTTTACAGCAGACGATCTTGGCTTTGCCCCCGTCCTCTTCGTGTGAAAGAAGGAGCTGCACATGGGAAGACTCTTTTTAGTATGAAAGTTTTCCCAATAGTCTATTAGACCCGTTTTCTTAATAAGAAGCTTTTGAAGTAGCCGCGAGGTTACGAAGTCGTGAACTTAATCTTGGTTGAATAAAAGTTCATCCCATCTTAGTTAGGTGTGGCTAACTGACGAGGATGACGGTACAAACGAAGCAAAGCGAAGTGAAGTCAAAGGGAAACGAAAGACCTACCTCACAAAGACGAGATTTCAAACTTGCCCTCGTGCTAAGGGTTAGTCTTATTAGAAAACTAATTCACTACTTTTTTTTTATGGTCCAGTAGTTCTCAATTACATCGACCCTAAGTCGATCAAAAAAGAGTCTCCTCGATCTGGATTCAGAGGCTCCATCTAAGTAGAGAGAAAGATGTAATCTCCGGCAAGATAAAAGAGGTGATGACATGGTATAGTTGAGGCAAGTGTAACCGTTCCATCAAGTGCTTAGCTAGCTTAACTATTGGATTTTCACTACTGAACTGGCTAACTTCATCTTACGTAGATCGAATGCCCATCTTGCGCTCAACACTTAGTGAGCTCTTTGACTTCACTGAACAAGCAACGGATTGAGCAACTAGCGCGAAAGCCGTTGCGCTAACGCGCATCCGTTTTCTTGCTGCTTCGAAAAGTTTGTTCCGTCAATCCACTTGAAATAGATACCACCGCAACAAATGTCGATTCTATGAATTGAAGGCTACATTCCTTTTTCTAATAGAAAAGGCTAAAGGCCCACTTTCACCTATTCTATAGAGAATATAGACCATAAAAAGGAGGAAGGCAAGAAGCCCGGAAAGTAATTAGGCGAGGATCGACCATTTGACTTAGCCTAACCTAGGCAGGCCCCAGCGAGACGTAGTAATTTCCTTTCATGCAGAAGAAGGACCTCTTTCCTTCCCTTGAGCGTCAGTTCCGTACCTACATTGAGCCCTTTCCTTCTCTACTTAGCCGGGTAAGATCGGATCAGTTCCCAGAGGCAGACTTCTCACCTGGGGGAAGATAGGAGTAGGAAGATCAAGCTTGAGCACCGTTGAGTCGACTCTAAAAAGCGTTGGCATAAAGGATTGTGTAGCTGGCACCAGAAAACCCGTTCGCTGTTTGGATATTGTGCTGACATGAGTAACGAGAAATCCTGTGAAAAACACGATCGCCTGCCAGTGAAATAACTCATATTTGTAAATCTTTCTATGTTCCAGTCTTATCCAATCCGTTCACCACTCAAGAGAGGCACTCTACTGGATGCACAACCTAAACCCCACCATTCCAGTACATGGAAGGGCATCCTAAGAGGAAAGGACACACTGTTGAGAGGGCTGGGATGGCGAGTGGGCTAGGTTCGATGTAATTGAGGGAGAGCAAAGTGAGACTTGACGCTAAAAGGATTCTATGACTTCACTTCGCTTATACTTTAGATAAATGGAATAGGTAATACAGATTTTATACGTCCACTGCTCTGAACAGAAGGTCTGGACAGAAGCACTTGCCCTACCGGGCAGACTAGACCCTTGGAGAGACTTCCGATAAAGCCTTGACTATAGGGTCTTCCCCCGCTGTTAGCTATTAAACTGATCCTTCCCCGGAAAGTCATCGACCAAAAAGTGCCAGATAAGGCCTGTTAATTCTTCGAAAGGTCTAATCACACGAAAGAAAGAGATGTGCCTGATCAAAATACTAAAAAGGCAGCTACTTCTGCACCAGCAGCAACATTAGCTGCAGGATTGGAAGGGATGGATCCTTTATGCGAATGAATGATCCTCTTCTGCGGGCAAGGAAGTTCTGTGGGAAGTTACTAAAGTGGATTTAGATGAACCAAGTTCACCAATAGTATATAAATATGATGAAAGACTCGTCGGAATCTGGGCAACAAAGGGTCGATGTAATTGAGAGGAATAGAGATGGAAATGATCTAGATCTTTTATAGTGCACCTCTTGTTCTTTTAGCGAGGCAATTATCCATAGTTTGTCAGAATTTGTTGAAACAAGTTCGCGAATGTTGAGGGAAAGGGGCAGATTTCTCAGTGGTTTTGGCAGATTGGGCGCTAAGAGCAAGGTTGGTCGTAGATCAGAAGTTGTACCTGCTATCTATGAAAGGAAGAAATGGCGTATACCTCAGATCAGAATACTACTAAGCAAGGGGCATATCAATACTAAAGGTATGGATACTTTCTACTCAGAAACAGGAAAAGGATCTATGGGTGTTGGTGCCGGGAGCCGATAATCAAAGTAAAGGGAATTCTCCATCCACCTCTGCCCAAAAGGGGGTTAGCTCTATCCACGGGTAAATTGACACCCTTACCACGAAAAACAATCTTTATTTGTTGACCTCGAGTACGGACAAAATTGTTACTTTTCTGACTTACTATCCCTTTCGTGAGGAGCAAAATCAACGATTTAGACCTTTGATACGAAAGAAGAAGGTCAATTACCTCTACACTCGACCAGCTTTATGACTGAACTTCGCTTCGTTCGTACGCTTTGCTTCGCCTCAACTTCTAAGACCCTTTACATTCCCTATTATGCAATTATGAACTCCCCGGGAATAACATACTCTTCCTTGTCGCCCAGACAAATGTAATTTCCATTACTGACGGCCAAATCTTTTTATCTGCCGCCGGGGCATACGGATTCGACTCCTCGGCGGATTTCTCGTGGAACCGCTGACTGAATGGAAAGACCAGAACCATATAAAGACACAAGACTCGCATCGGATTTCCTATTTACATAGAATGCTTTTTCTATTTGAATTCAGTTTATCCCCAACCCTTTGTGAAGGTTACAAGACGGAATGGAATTCCAAAAGGGTCAAATAGGCAAATAAGAAGAGTGGCCCGCTCGAGCCAACTTCTCCTAAGGAAATCCATCTTGGAAATTGGAGAAGTCCGTCCGAGCGAAGGGGCTTCCTGAGTCTTATATTCCTTCTTTCCATTTTCTTGGTGGGATTTTCTTTCAAAACAAAATGAGATACCAAAGTGGATGATTGACTCATTCACGCCGGATTTGATGTTTCAAAGAAGTCCTCCATCGCCCTGGTTGCTTCTTTTCCTTTCTCAGTCGAGCAGGAATCTCTTTGGCTTTTTCCTCTCTGCCACGACATTCTATCTCTCTGGGATTCAACTTTCCTCTCCTTTTTTATGACTTCACTTCGCTTCGTTCGTTGGCTCAAGACTGAGGTTCGATATAATTGACGAGTTGGAGAATTGACTTCAAAGACCATTTCTTTTTTATCTAGATTTTGATTAGTTAGTGATCCCGGCCCAAGAAGTGTATGCTTCCGAAATGGAACTCGCTTCTGCGCTTCATACTTATCTCATCATGAGAGAGATCCCGCCTTTGGTTTCTTCCGTCGTCTTCCTCTGAGAGTTGAGTTCGCGGAGACTGAACTTAAGGTCCTGAAGCAGGATAGACTCATTGAGGGGTCCTATTTCCGGCTCTCTATCTAGAGCTAAAGCTTCAACCAGGAAGACACATGGCCTAACATGGTACGCACCTAACACTTCACTGCGCTTCGCTTCGTTCAACACATGGAATTCGAAAGGTAACAAGAAGTGGATGGCTCTCAAATTCGACTTGGCAAAAGCCTTCGATAGAGTGCCATTCTTTCCCGGTCTGGTTCTGGGCGCTTATTTTTCTCTTTTTGCAGCAAAGTCTAACTCCTTCAACCTCATAGAATGCGAAGAGTTAGAGATCGAGGAGCTAGAAAGTTGCAACCTAAAATACGGGGTATTGGCGGTAGGCGGGCCTGGGTCGATGTAATTGAGATGTAATTGACCAAAAATCTGTACTTAAACAGCCTTATAGAAAGTACTTTGACTGATCTCTCAAAAGTTCCTTAAAGATAAGATAAGAGGCCGGCTATCCGCTTTTACCCTAAACTTGATAAGGCGTTAGCATCTTCTGAAGGTACCATGGATGATTGGTCATAAAGAAGGCCTAAGAGCGGAATTTTGCTCTTCGCGTAGCCCAGGCCTATCACCCATATTGGCATAATATGTATGTGCAAGGTTTGGAATCCAAGAAGGCGCGAAGAAACTGGCATAGGAGATATGCCTAAGCTCGGTGTCACCCTAACCTTTGGTCTTCTTTCGGTTGCCTTTACGGCGATATAGGCTAGGCTTGATGTAATTAACCTCCTACTAGAAAACCTCCATTTGGTCTACCGCTTTACTTGATAGGGCTTAGGTATAATCACTCAAGCCATTCCTTAAACGTTCGATAGAAGCTCGAAAAAGGCATAGGCCCCCTTTTATGGAAGATTTTAGGGACTTTTAGGATATCTCTCATGGAAGCTTCAAAAGAGCCGATAAAGCGAAGATTATAGGATAGTTTCCTAGTTCCTAACTTCTTAGGGTTGAGCTATTCCCCTAATCGCCATTCGGGCATTCTTTCAAGGAATAAGCAATTACACCTTCCCTCAAGGGATAGTAAGGAATGAACCAATGGGTAAACGAGCTAATGAACGGCAGCTAATCCGACCAAGTAAGTCAGCTAGTGGGAAGCTATTAAAGGAGAGAAAGGTTCGGGGCATACGTAGGTTGGTACCCCTTAAACTTGACTCAATTATATCGATCCTAACCCGCTAGCAAGCATACACGCATGAGCGAGCAGGCAAGGAAGACGGATATCGGTCTAACGGTTTACTTTAGAAGTTCAAGCTAACCTCCTATCCGCAGGAAGGGTCAACCCGGTCTGGTCTATTCGACCCATTGTAAGAGCACGAACTGGGTACTTGAAAACCTATTCCTGGAGAACTCATCTTAGGTGATAGGTCTTGCCTGTCATAGCTGGTCTCGTATCGACCTACTGGCTGACTCACTGGATTATAGATATTTTAGGTTGACTCAGGAGCTTAGGGTAGTCTACTGCAGAAGGAAGGATAGACAGCCAATCTTGGCTAAGAAATCACCACCTCTTCTGAAAAGCCGAGGGACCTGGACAGCTTTGTAGATTTCTGCCTAAGTGAAGTGTTGAGTCTCGGTCCTTAGAAATCGCTAAAAGACTGCGAACAGAGGTGATTTTGGGGGCTTTTAACATTTTAGAGGTCTTACGCCGAAGGCTTTCTTTTCGTTCTCAAAAGGAGCCTTCTTAACCCTACAAACTTTTCGAAGCAGCAAGAAAACGGATGCGCGTTAGCGCAACGGCTTTCGCGCTAGTTGCTCAATCCGTTGCTTGTTCAGTGAAGTCAAAAGTCTTGGCGAAGTTCAGTCAAAATCTTTGGTTCAGCGGAATAATTACATACTCGCGTGCTCTTCGCTTATCGGCTCACCTTCTTCGCAGCGTAGCAGTTCAGCTGTCCTCCTATTCGCCTATCGGTCTACCTTCATTCGTCCTCTTCGCTGCGTATCGGCTCTACCCTAACCTAAGGAACAGAAGCAAGCTCTCCTAACCGGTGGCGGTGTCATATTCATATCTAATATGATATTTATTCAAAGATAAAAGAGAAATGTTCGCGTCAGCGAATAGGACGAATGCAGGTTCCTTTAATAGGTAACTTAGTATAGGGTGGTATCACCTATATATAGGCAGGCGAACGTCCCACCACTCGCTGATACAGTCGTTTAGAGCTTCGCATAATAAAGCTCACGGGCAAAGATAGAGCTGCTCGTGCGTCAGATATTCTGACCATGTTGCGAGCTGCGGAGCCTAATTCTGTTAAGATTCGGAGTTTAGTGATCGGAACGGTATGAGAAAGAAGGTTTAGCGAAGCCCAGCAGTGGATTCAGTAGAAGTAGATTCGGTTGATGAAAGTGTTGGGACTATTAAAATAAATGGAGTTGGGAAAGGGTGAAGAAGGTTGGTCTACCTTCTCTCCTCCTGGATAAGGCAGGATAGACAGTAAGTAAAGTAGGTACCTGATGTACCAGTATATTGGCTAACTCCTAAGCCTATATATATACAAAGCGAGCGAACAAGCTAACCTCTTCAACGGTATGAGCAAGCAAGAACTTCAACCAGTAGTGGAAGACGGAGTGAACAAGCGAGCCAGCTAGTGATGCGAGTTCGCGATTACAGGAGATAAGCCTTCCCACAGCTAAGCTTCCTTCGTTGGCTTGTTCTACGTGAAGGCGACCATAGGGAGGATTCGCTCTTTCTTAAAGTCCCAAACCTGTCCTTATAGGCATGCAATCTATCGCATCTTCTGAAGGTACCATGGATGATTGATCATAAGTCAATTACATCAAACCTCTCCGAATTTCTATGACTGAACTTCGCTTCGTTCTTATGGTCGGACCCCATTTCCAGTAAGGGTACTGGGATGCAGAAGTAGGGGATGGGATACGAAAGAAAGAACGGCTCCATACTACATTCATAGGGAAGAGTTCTTTGCAAAGGTTTAAACTATTTGGTTTATTAGGAAAATTCCACTTGCGGGTGAGTTAGCAACAAAAGCGGAAAGACGGAATAGGAAGGAAGATCAAAATGGGCAAAAAGGGCTTCTTTAGAGGAATGCTTTCGAGTGGTGGGGGCGTTTATTCCAGCGAGGGAGGTTTAGGCTTGCCCCGAAGCTTTTAGACATAGCATCTCGATCTCTCTGGAAAGCACAAAAAGAAAAAGCCGTATTAGTTACTTCGGTATTCTACCGCACTGGTACGAATGGTTATTAAATCGATTTAGCAAGACGAGATTCTCAATCGGCGCGGATAGGGAAAATATGAGAGGGGACGAAGGAGCTTTAAGGTGTTATAGGTTGGCCACATAACATAGGAAGATTTTCTCTTTCCGAGTGGTATATAATTATGACCTTCCTGGTCAGGAAACTACCTCTCTTTTCCCGGTTCAGGATAAGATCTTTCATCTTTCAAGGCATTTACCAACCTTCTTTCTCAACTTTCACATCAGCCTTCTGGTACAAAGAAATTGAGGGGGTTGGGACTAATGAAAGAAGTAGCGAATAAGCTGGATTCGCAGGGACAGGGGAAGATTGCATAAATTCAATTCCCGAAACGAGATAAAAAAGTTGAAATCAAAAAAGAGGGAACGAACGAAGCGAAGTGAAGGAAAAGACGGAGTGGCTCATGATGATATATGAGAAGACTATTCCCAAGGAGCCTGACTGATCAAGCTATGGGATGGTACTTCACTCTCCCCTGGTATTCAATTCAATCTTTTGCCCTTCTTGCCGATCGTAGAATAGAAAAGGTCTCGTCGTAGAGGTCAATTACATTGAACCTATCTCCTTCGGACCCTTTCTTTCACTGTCAGTTTTCTACCCCAATCGGTTATTCCAACTCAACTATTATCTATGCGATTTCTGAAGGAACTTTCGTAAGGGCTTTCTACTGTCCTCAATCCTAGGTCTCCGAGTTCCAAGCGAATTCCAATATCTTGCTCGACTGAACAGAAATCGATATCATTTTACGCGACGAGTAGTCCCTTTCCTGTGTTGTGTAAAGGATGCTATTTTTCCATCTTCGTATCTCATACTTTCCTTTCACCCGTTTGCTATCTATTCCACAACTCGAATACCCGTGGAAGTGGAATACACAATAAAATATTCGATCCGAAGGGTTTGGGTGCAATAAAATCTCCTATCTGTAAATCGACCCTGAAAAGATCTATATCCCTCACTAGAGTTTTCTGATGCCCTGGCTTGTGATTCATCCTAACGAGAATTCAAGGTGCCTTATCTGTACATTTCTTACGCAATTTATTTCTCCCATCGCTTTGCATGCTTGGCTGGGAAATACCCGATTCCTTGCTGGGATGACCCGAGGTAGATACTCCACTACTATGCCGTCTTTCCCAACCCGCTAAGAAGGAGGACTGGCTGCCAAGCCTTCAACTCAACTCCCTTTATGAGTTCCTAATTTAATTACAAAACCCGACAGAACAACTCGAAGAATGGTCTACTTCCCAAAACGAATCCTTTATTATGCTATTATGCGACCACAACAGGGGAATTCCAAAGATCCAGACGACTCGCTCCTACCACGCTCTTCCCCGCACTTTCCCGATCCCCTTGCTGCGAAGTACCCCATCTCGAACAAACAAGGACTACGAAACCAATTCTAGAAATAGAATACTAACAGGAGCGAGGTTTGGTCAATTACATCGAGCCTGGGGACCTCTCAAGTTCCTTCAGAAATTGAATATCTTCTGAAATCGCATAGAATAGAGTAGATTTCAAATCCGTAGTTGGAGTTGGAATGCCCGAGTTGGATCTAGGAACGTGAACAGCTCTTCCTGGTGGTAAGCTGGTATGGCTTGAGCAAAAGTACCAGAGCTTGAGCACTTGAAATAAAGGAAAGTACCAGGTAAGAGAAAAGGGGATAACTTTCAATTCCAGGTTAGGAGCTCTTTGTTTTGGCAATTCCTTCTTTCGATAAACTAGGATTGGTTGTCAAGTTCCAGATTAGGACCAACTTCATATTATGGCTTTAGAAGTTTCTCAGATCAGATAAGCGGATCAAGAGTTTCTAGGTCTAGGACAGCTGGCCTTTGCCTTTGCGAAATAGCTTCCGATCGGTCCAATAAGGTCTTAGATGCTAGGAATTCGCCAGTTTTGGGAAGATGGCTTGGGAGTTGGTCTTAGATTCCAAGTTGGGTCTGGAATTGATTCCTTGGGTCAAGAAAGACGACATTTCCTGATCTGGTTGAATAATAAGAGGAGTCGGTTTAGATCCGAGCTAGTCTGGTAAGAGCGTGGTAGTAGTCCTCGTCGCCAAGCCAGCAAAGAAAGATGCTTTCGCAAAAGGGCGAGGAATTCACCCAATTTAGTAAACATAAGTAAAGTAAGCAGTCAAGTCGGGAAAGGAGTCAAGCTCTTTGAGAGTAGCTATCGAGGATTGTGAATCCTGTCCTGGCACAAAGGCAAAGGAAGAAGACAAAGCAGCGGGTACAGAGGTAGGGACCTGAAGAAGCTTTGAAATGGGACCTTTCCTGACTCACAAGACAAGCAACAGGTCCAGAACTCACGTTTTCCGGTAATAAAAATAGGGCTAATTTCCGAAAAAGGAGAAAACCGGCTCCTGCTGTTATGATATCGCACCTTTAGCTTTAGGATCTTGGCTTTGCAGCCCATCCGCTTTCAGTTTCCCATCGGTCGTCAACAAAGGCTGGAATCGGATCAGAAGCTCAGAAGTGGTAACAAGCGTAAGCCATAAAGCAATGGTCTAAATAGCGAATAGCGCGTAAGAAATGTACAGATTTCGCTTTCTGTCCAGCAAGAGATTGGATTGCGTATTGCATTGTTAACTCGGGTTAGAGCAAGGATTGAAACAACTGGCAAAGCAAGAGCACTTACGATAGTGCCTGCAGAAATTGCATATAATAGAGAAGAGTTTATATCAGGAGGTGGAATGAATACCCGAGAAAGGTCGACCAAGTCCTCTAACAGAAGTTGGTCAAATAGAATATTCGAGTTAGGAGTTTGATACGGATTTTCGACTCTCTTTTGAGATAGGACTTTCGATCGGTACAATAAGAGCAGCTGACAGAACTGGTGGACTAGAAAGGCAAGAGGGAAAATGGGCTCTATTCAATTAACAGATTACGAGCTAAACTACGATCGGTGGGAAAGTGCCAGATTAGGACCGATGCTTGAGCTCAGATGTTTTACCAAGGTCTGAAACTAAACGCTTGGGGCAAGGCAATTCAATTTACCAGTCCTCGATCCGAAGAAGGAAAGCCATATATGCTTAGGAAACAGACCCCATATTTCGACCCCAATATTTATTACCAGAGAACCTTAGACAGATCTGCCAACGATGAATCACAAGCAACGGGTCAAGAACTCAAGTTTCGCTTACCAGGATTTGAGTTGAGTTTTTCCAGGTTGGTAAAAAGGGGTTCCAGTATCAACCAACATATTTGGATATTTACGCGTGGAAGATCGAGCTTGAGGGCCAACTCTTTAAACGCTTACTGAGGGAGAAAGTCATTTGCCCAGAGTGAGCTCCCTTGAAAGCAAGGAGACAGATCCTCAGCCAGAGCTCTTGACGATCCACTCCTCATATCTGCTTTATTTACTAGGACTCTGATTACCAGACAGACATTTGGAAAGAACTCCAAGGTTTACCAGTTGGTCGACTAATTGATGACTCTTTCGACAGTAGGAGAAGCTAACTCTTCCACCACTTCCCCAACTCATTGATAGTTACGCGTCAGGAATCCAGATCTTCAGAATAATGGGTAAACGACTTCCCGCTTTGACCAATCGAAACAGATCTAACGAAAGCTGGGCCAAGGACTCGTGTTTGCCCTAGCTATGAAGAGAGGACTCAGAAGAGGTAATTTATTACTCGAGTTCNGTAGATCAGAGGCTTTTCCTGGGCTGCTGGGAGTCGCACTTCGCAAAGTACCAGATCGAGTTAGCATTTTGATACTCCTCTAATTCTAGGAGTTCACCTGAAAGCGCAAGGCTCGTACCTCGGGCGTCGGAAACTGATTGGCAGCCTAAGTGAAATACCCAACTGGATGAAGTGTTGCTGATTTCAGGACATGAGTCAAACCCAACCTGGAAAGCAACAGAGCTTACTTCACTGCGAAAATCCTTGTTCTTTTTTCTAATTTCTATTTTACAATGATATTTGTCGTATTTTTATGACTAATCGATTTCCTTGTCTTTTTTCTTGGACAATATTATTTGTAGAGTTACAAAGTCGAAAGAAAGAACCACAGAACAGAGGTCTATATCGAGCCTGCTATTATATTAGATGATTACCTTTTCGGTCAGAACTACTGGAAGACTTGCTGCCTTCTACTTGCCAACCCGGCGATCCAGTTTCCGACCTTGGGTAAACATCCTTTCCCACTAGTCTAATATTCACAGCGTAGACACATATTTTATTTGTTTTATCAGTCCCTCACGCGTAAATATCATATCAATATGTTGGAAACTGGGCACATCACTCTTTGCCTCCTATCGAGGGAAATCTCTCTATGTCGGAGTAAGATCGAGTCAAGTCGAATATATATGTCAGATTGGGTTAGATCTAGGAAGTAAGTCTTCAATCTAGCGAAGAAATAGGAATAGATTTGCGAGCGTAAAGAGTTCACCCTCAAGATGGCAGTTGTCTCCTAATCTCCTAATAGCTCTGATTAGAAAGAGTCAATCGGGAAGTGGACTAAGAATAGGAAATCTCTATCCCTGGGGTGAGGAGGCGAGCGGAAATAGTAAACCCTTTTGATGGGAGTAGTCTCCTAATAGCGAGAAGAAAGAGGCAGCCAGTTCCTAATAAGATGGTCGAGTTGGGGATTCTCTCCTAATGTCTCGAGTCAAGTCCAAAAATATATCTCTGTCAGATCTAGGAAAAGCGGGAACGACAAAGCTGGGGTCCTTATCAAAGAAACCATGGAAGAAGCATTCTGTAGCCGTTAGTCGATCAACACCGTATCGTAGTCCTACAAGAGGAACTCAGCAATCAAAGATGCTGTCCAAAGATGGGGTCTCAAACAGAGGACAAAGAAGCATGATCTAGCCGGTGGTGTCTTCAATATGATGTCCTCTCGTATCGAACAAACAAAGGAGTCTAAGACAGCTGATCTCCTTACACGCGTATGTAATGTATTTATATGCTCCTTTCAGGAATCATAACAGCGATCGTATCGAAGAATTCCATGAAATGACACCAAACCTGGGAATACCCGCTTTCCATCATCCACTCGTAAACCTTGTTCCTAATTACCAAACCCGCAAACAACTTGAAGAGAAGACCCTTCGCACTTTATGGACTTCCTTGTCTACCCCGGACAGATTGACTAGCTTGGATCTAAATCCAGGAATAAGAAACCTTTATCTCACCAAAATGGCTAAACGCTGAAAGCCAAGATCCTCAAGTTATGAGCTTCTTCCGAACCCGGGTAAATTACAATTACTAGCATCTAAGACCAAGGACCGAGCGGAATACCCGACACCAGATCTACTCTTTCACCCAGGACTGCGAATCCCTTATTTCAACTCAACTGGTAAACCAGCTCTTATTACTCAACCGAAAGCTGGGAAGACCAACTCGACTCGCCAACCCGACTCCTCTGAGTATTCCCTTTCCCGCTTGTCTACGACCCGAGGGGAATTGCTAAGATCGAGGACTGCTACCCCCCCAACCCGACGAGAGGACGCATTTACTTTATTGGAACAAAACCAATGAACAAATCACAGATCGAATCTAGACCGACTCCTGCTAATACATAATACAATACCCGATACGAACGAGCGCTCTTGACTTGCCAGCCTCTGATCCCAGGACTGGTACTACCCGCTTGACCTCTTGACTGGCTGCTCGGCGAAGGACTGGCCGATCTCTTTCCCGGCTCCTAATCAATCTAATTACCAAACCCGAGGGAACAACTCGAAGCCAGGAGCCCTTTCCCAATCCTTCTACTCCGCTCCGAAACCTGCTAAGGAAATGTCAGATCGACGAAATACAGGATTGGATCCACGGTAAGACCAGATGCCCCAACTCTCCAAAGCAAGAATCTGAAAACAGTGGAATTCTCCATCCCCAACCCTAATCCTGCTTGACCGTCTTCCCCACCAGCATATTCATCTTCTCGACCAAAGAAAAACTCGAAAGCCTCTGCGCAGGTCAGCTTTCTTTACCATCTTTCCCAAACCGGTTAGGCAGAACAAGAACAACAGGAACAACTGGCTCCTCTACTCGCAAACCGACTCCTCTTATTCTAATTCTGTTTTCCGAAACCCATCAGCCCAGTAGCTTACTCTGATCTGGGGTATTCATTTGAACTCCAGATGTAAAACCAACTCAGATTCTTATCTATGCTAATACTTTTGTCACTCGAGGAAGGGGTTTAGCTTTCAGAGTTGGAAAGATCCTTGCCCCCTTTCCCATCCCATTTGAGCTCCTAACTTGGGAGTTTCACTTCCATATTATAAGGAGAGATTTCTAAAAGAGTCTGATTTCTCTCTACCAAGGAACATAATGACCTATGCCAATTTTCAATTTTCTCCAACTTAGACATTAAAAATCTTTATTGGGTTTGTGTATAGTGTACCGCATTATGAGTTGTGTAGCTAGTGCCCTTTCCTGACCAATCAATACTTAGTGAACTCAGCTTATCTTCCTTTAGGCAAGTCAATCAAAGAAAAATGAAATCTACTTTCCTTTACTAGCTTAGCTTTCCTAAACCACTCTAAACCACTTAAGTGCATCCAAAGTAAAGTCATTTCTTGCGAACGAGGAAAGCAGCTCCTTCTGTCGACAAGTGAAAGAAAAGGTGCTAGTACGCCTTCGCCCAAAGTACCATATTATGGTAGGAAGGTCGACCTTTCTTTTGGACAATGGACAAACAGATCGAGTCCTTTTCCGACTTCGATATAACATTCTTCCCAAGGGCGCTTTGCCATTTTCAAGACATCGGAGTCATCCAAAAGATAGTCAACCACAGACTATAGCTTTAGCCAAGAGCGAGGCTTTCAAGAGAAAGGGCGGATACAAGCTGACCAAGGAATGAAGATTCCAGTCCTTCCATCGAACAGCTGCTAAGACAGTTTGGCAAAGGAGTTGTTCTTTGGTCGAGAAATAGGGTAGAAAGACCCCGTTGTTTTGGTAGTCCCTGTTTCTCCGAGTTGGGGTACTTCGCAGCAAGGGGATCTGTTAAAAGGGGTTCCCAGTCCTTGGTCCGGAGCTGTGCTGTCAAGTGGATCTTCCAGCAGTTCAGTATTAGTATTAGCGTGTGGGATTGGATCTGGTCTTCCCGTCGATCCATTCTTTTCTTTCGTCGATCTTAGCAGTTCAGTCGGTCTGGTACTGGTAAATTGCTTCGTAAATGAAATAGCAGGATTGAATTTCTTTATTTTTTATATGCGGGTAAGAGCAAGAGGTCGGTCGTGGATCTAACCGGTCTCGTCGGTAAATCTGGCTCGTTCCTCGGGGTTCAGGAGTCAATAGCTTTGGAGTTGGACCTGTCCTTCTGCGGTTTCGGAATAATAAGAGGAACTGCTGGGGAACTTTAGGGAAGGGATCGGAAATCTCATAGCAATGTGGTCAAGAGACGTACTTGGGTTCTGCAAGATGGGAGAAGGTCCGAGTTAAGTTCCAAGTCTTTCGGTAGAACTCAATCTACAAGGAAGGCGCCTGGAAGATTCCAATGATCAATCACAAAGAACGTCGCTTTTCATCACTTCGAGGAGTACTTTTCGGGCAAGGGAGACGCTCTGAGATTTGATCTTTCTCCTTCGCTTTGGATGGTGGAATAAATAGCTTAATAGAATGGAGTCGGGATTTGCCATCGCGAAATAGAGTCAACCGGCTGTTGGACCTAAGTCTTCCATCTATGCTTTGCCAGGAGAGGAGGCAAAGAGCAGGCAAAAGTGGGCATTCCACCGGTCTTACTGAAAGGGTTCAGGCAGTGGTCCTTCGGAAGGGCAAAGGCCAAGGAAGGTTACCCAAGGGAAAGATCTTGGAAGATTACAAATGATCAAGAACAAGACAAGCAACCCCGTGATCGATGATGGGTAGAAAACCTGAGATGAGATAGGAGATTGTGTTGCACCCATAGGAGCGAATATTCTATTGTATTCCACTTCCACCGGTCTGAATCAAGGGTTGGGAATGGGAAAGCAGGATTGCGTTGCGAGCTAGATGCCAGATGGGAGTTGATGTTGCTAGTCCAGTTGTTCTTCTGAACATAGAATAAAGGAGCTCGTTTTGGGAATGAACCTCGGGTCGTCGACAAGCCTGGCAAGAGGGAAAGCGGGAAATAGGGTCGTCGATCTTACCTCTTTTGGAAATAGAACATATTCAAAAGCTGGGTGAAGGAGTTGAAGGCAGCCAGCCGATCTTCCTGTTGTTCTGTGCGGTAAATGAAATCAAATATGGTAAGAAAGTTTGACCCCATTTGTTCCAACCAAGACAACTTGAATCTTCCTCACGATCAATCAGGCAAATGAAATATTTATACGATTTTGCCTTTTTTTGATCTTTAAAAGAAATATGTATCTACAATGTTTTAGATAGAAGAATGGGAAAGGATGTTTACCAGCAAGTAAAGAGGTCAAGCGATCGGGTATTACCCAGCTAAGCGCTCTGAGGAGGTACCGAGGGTCGGAAACCGGAAATGGCAAGGCAAAGGATTTTCGACCAGCTCGGAATGCTCTTTTAGCGAGATACCAAGGGTCTAGAAATTCTGTATATTTTATAGCTTGAAAATGAACCCCTTCATATGCGCGATAGAACAAGAGTTTCAGTTTTATGATGATTCGCCTTAGAGCCCTTACTTTCGGCTCCTATCCAGGATGAAGGGGTCCGTCTCCGAGATCGGGTTGTTTGCGAGTTGGAATGGATTGGGTTCGGGATTCCTTCTATGGTTTGGAAATGAAAGATGGAAAAGCTGGGTCCAGGAGTAGGGGAGCCGGTCTTACCCGTCCGCCCAGGAGTTTGGAAATCGATCGAACGAGTTCACATACTTGGTTCAAAGGCTAGTAGGAATAGGAATTAGCGGTCCTGGGATCAAGATGCGGGCAAGAAAGCCAGGATTGAGGGAAAGGCGATCTGAAATTGATCCTAGGTCGGAAACAAGACAAGCCGCAAAGCGCAAAGAAAAAATAAGATACCTGGGGTCGGTCACCGGATAGCCCTAATTCTAGAGTCAATCTTTTGTTACAAGGAAGGCATGTGGAATTTTACTGACGATCAATCACAAGCGAGCACCTCCAAACGCAGGTTTTCCGGTAATCAATATCGGGGTCGTGAAGCTCTGATGTTTTCCCTGGGCCGTCAACAAGCCGCTTTGGGATTGGAATTGATACCTCGGTTTGACAGCCTGCAAAGGCATCGGGGATTTGGGGTCGTCGACAAACAAGCCTGAAAGTGATTGGATTAGCGTTATAGCCTTGGGTTGGGTACGGTTGGAGGGGTTGGACTCCTCTTTCCATTATATACGATACGGGTTTGGCCTATATAGATTTCTATTTATACTAGGGCAGGAGACCAGATTCAATATTTCTCCTCTTCGGTATCAGGTTTCTAAATTTGTATCTACCTGACTGTAATAGAGAAGTGGTGGAATTTGAACCCTTCGAAGTCATATAGAAAAAACTCATTCTTTTACGAATTATGGTGATGAACCTTAGAGACCTTCCTTTCGTTCGTTTTGCATATAGAACTTTCAGGACGATACTATTAGCGGATTACTCCAGTGCCCCCACTTTCATGGCTCCTGCCCGCTTCTCATTATCAGATTGGGGCCGATAAGGGGATCGCAACTCGCGGTTAGAGACTGGATCTTTCCAACTGTCAAAGGAATAGCACTTCCAACAGTGCCTTATGAAATGGCATAAATAATATGAGTAGATTTTCTACAAATCTGAGTTGGAATACCTGATTTACGTCGGAAACTGGGCTGCTCGGTTGAGGACTTCAAAGTACAGTACTACAGATAGACCCGAGAATCTATTTATTAGATAGGTGGGAAATTCACCCCTTTATTTCTTTCCAGAAAACCGATGAAAGTTGACGATGGATCACAAGCAAGCCCTTAACTTTCGGCCCTATACAGGATTGGGGGATCGATTTCACAGATCGGGAAAACGCCTTAATTTCATATCGTTTTAATATCCTAGGAAATTGAAATATTGAAATGTATAAGGTTGGGCGAGAGCAATTACTTTGTAAAGGAGATACTTCAGTCTTGTCGATCAAAAGGAAAGGCGATGGGTAGTTCCTTTGCGCGAGAAATTCTTTCTTTTCCCTTTATGTCAAGAGATTGGATTATGAGTTAGTTCTTTCATTCATTCACTCGGCAACTCTTGAACTCATATTAATTAGCGATGCGGTGTCAGATGAACTCCTGTGTATATGAGTTGGTTTCATAAAATGGATTTCTGTTCTGAGGGATTTGGTTCTTTTACAGCTGGTGTTTAACCGGTCATATCGATCGAAAGAGATCAGCTGAAACAGGGAGTTTCGAAAGCAGGGGTTCAGGCATGGGATCCAGCCATCCGATTCCAAAGATTGAAACCAGCCAGAAGCGACGTACTTGTACTTGGGTCAGAGAATTCCCTCTTTGGCCAATTCTAAAGATTGAGTTTTCTTACTCCTATAGAATCTTCCTGAGGATCAATCACAAGCAAGCACCTACTTTCGGAGGATAGAAATATAGGGGGCCTCTTTCTTTTATATATCGGTTGGGGAACCTGATAGTTAGCGGTTTGGCCCCAGCATTCGAAACTTCGAAGACACTCATATTAGCGCTTTACTCCAGTCACCAATGATCCAACCTTCTTTTTATGTTATGCGCGCGAGGGATCCTGATCTTGAGAAAGAGCGCTTACCCAGATCCACTCATTTTAATGGCTAGAAACCCAGAGGTTCGCTCCTACTAACAGCAGGGATTGACAATGAATACGGACTCGGTTAGTATTTGCACTTTACTCTCGCCATTACTAAGCTACTGAGGGATAGATATGACTCTTCCTCTAGAAAATTCATTCCAGAATGAAAATCTTTAACGCCAGAGATCACCAATCTTGGATGCTTTCCATCAGATCGAGATATTCATAACTCCTGAGATCAGCGATTTACTAGTGTTACGTCCTCCCCTATTTTATCCTATTTAGGAATTACTTGAGGGATCCGCTCTTATTACCTAGATAGGAGCGATATCGTGCAAGTGAACACAAAGATATTGATTCACTAGAGCTAATCCTGAGCAAGTTAGAGTTAGCGCCTACACCCGATCCTGATAGGGACTTGACCGCAGGAAGACACTTGCCCATCCTCAGGATCAATAACAAGACAAGACTAGCCCGAGAAGTGTGCGCTAATCCTGCTCCTAAACTTGCTATTGCTGTCCATTCTTCTTCCTTTCTTTACTTTGCTTTTGCTCCTACCCTGTCAGCCAAGGTCTTTATTAGGTTAGGTAACAAGGTATGAAAACCTTCTTTTTCTCGATGCGAAGAAAAGCCCTACTCCATGGAGCCATGGGCATGATTCCAGTTGTCCTCACCCAACCAATAGGCCCTTCCCTTGTTATCTCTTACACTCTCTCTGATAGGGAAGACTACTCTTATGTTATTACTTTGCTAATCTGACTTTCCTGTTGATGCGGCATTACCGGTCTAGATGTTCAAATTGTAAAGTCAAGAGATAGCTATCGATGAGGCATCTTCCTTGCAAGGTAGTACCGAATCCAATGGAGTGAGAGCTTCTTTGACCAATGAAGTGGATTCCTGGAAAATGACTAGAAGACGGGAGCTTGCGCTTTTGACTACCGAGCTCTCAACAAGGTGACCGTTCGCAAGTAGTCTGATAGCGGAGTGAAGTGTTTCTATGACTGAACTTTGCTTCGCTTCTAAAGTTGGCTAGGAAATGCGGCCTAAGACAATCTACCCCGGGCAAAGTACTATCGTAGAATGTAGGGTAAGATTTTTTATTCCTTACCTTTTCGTACGATTCGTAGCATCGGAGAATGTGAAAAAGAATGTACTATTCCTTCTAAACATAGAAGGCACTACCTCCAGGGCAAAGGCTTTGATAAAGATTTCCTGTTCGAGGCCTAAAGACTCAGTTACGGATACTTCACATCCTTACGTAACGACTGCTAATTCAAGTCTTCCTTGCAATGTTCAAAGCGCTGTCGCACCTCTTTACCCGAGAAAGCAAGTAGCGAAGACTGAGTTGGAACTCTTTCCCCGCATTCCTTCTTGCTTTACTAACTCTAACTCAATCCCATTTCCCCCCATTCCTATCCTTTACACAGGTAAAAGATGAGATTCTCTCAACTGTTCTTCTTCTATCAACTTCTTTACACGAGTAACAGATTCTTGAGCCCTCTGCTCCTTTTTTCGTGGGTCTTTAGGAAGGGGGATATATTCACTATTCGGAAGGCGATCCCGGTAAGCAAGCTAGTTTGGTTACCGTATGGAGCCGACCTTTTCAACGTATGGGAGGGTTTTGTTCAACCCGACCTTCCACCCAGTAGCTTCATGCTACCCAAGCCAATTAGAGGCCCTCTCGAATGGAAGGACGCATATGTGCCTTCTTGTCTAAGAAAGGTCTTAACTAGATGAGACCCCTTGGGACGGGATTTCCTTCGAATTAAATACCTATCTTAGGTTCACATATCACTTTTTGTAATTTAATTACGGCAAGTCCGGCCGGGTGTAATTGGCGCAGGAGAGAGTGAGTCTCGGGTGAGACGCACGAACGACAAGCCCGTAGTAGTAGTTGCTTGATGGTGTGTAGTGGGATGACCTGGTAGCGATCATATTTTTATGTATATAAGCTGTTTACCATAAGCAGGAGTTTCTCGATATCAGATCTTGAAACAAAGACGGACATTTCTAACGATTCAAACAGAAGGATTGATGCAGCCTTAGCTGCTGGTGCTCGGGCGAGTGAAATGGGCATTGGTTTTCTTTCTTTGTCATCAATAGCCAGCATGTCAAATGCAATGAGTGAGCTCTCCTTACCTCCTTAGCAACCTTCTCGATGCGCGGATTCCATGCAAAGCAAAGGATCTCAATCAGGGTGGAAGCCCACGCCACGCGCATTCAGCTAAAAAGGGAAGTCTGGTCTGAGAACGAAGACATGGCATAATCAGCTCATGACCAAAGACAGTTCATTCATACGCGAAGCATCTTGAATCCCCTGGAGCAGCCATAGAGACCACCGACCGAACCTCTGGAAGAGAAAGACAAGACGCCCCAGCAACCCCAATGGTATGGTAAGGTCAAAGCAACTCCGAAGCCCATCCCGCGCCCCCTACATTCTAATCAAATCAAAGGAGCGCCAATGGCAGTGAAAGAAGGAGGCGTAACGTTGTCATAATCAGGTCATTTTCCTGTGGTTCCCCGCCAAGGGCTTCAAAAGCAACAGCAGACGCGGAGCAGCAAAGAGCCGTAAAGAGCGTTCAAGCTAGCTCTTCAGATGGACTTGGGTTTGGGTGCGGCGGCTACGGCACGCACCGCACACAACCAAACCAACCAATCTGGACTATAGCAGAATCAACTACCGTTTTCCTCTATCGGAAAGCCCAACAGAAGAGAAAGTCTGAACAAGCAACCCCCTTCCCTCGCCCAAGCTCGTCTCTTTTTCCAATAGCACGTGGGATGAGAGTTCCGATTGGAAGATGCTGAGTACGACGTTGGACATCTCATTGAGTCAATTCTGAATGTGAGATGTGAATCAAGCGCAGTTCCTCATATCACTCATAACTTGTTTGATAAGTAAGGAAGCGCTATCAGCATCGTCACCCTTATGAAGGAACAGTCTGAGGTCAGGCAGGGTACGACGCCCATGAGAAAGGGCAGCCCAAGCTACTTCCCTGATCGATCTCTAAAAGTGCCGTAGCAGCCCCAAAGACTGAAAGAGAGAACACAGCTACCCCAAGGGCAAGCTAAGAGGCATTCAAGCAACTCCCGTAGGCGATCTCAGTAGCTACCCTTTTCTCAGAACAACCGGAGATGGAGCACTAAAAAGAACAATGGAAGTTGCTTTGCCAGTGAACTCCAATAGGTTGCTTTAGTGAGCAACTGAGTTCGATGCGCTGACTGGCTTGGGATGGAAATAGATAGAAGGAGCTGCCTTCCCCGATGATCTCTCTTCTGGGACATATAAAATATAGATAGAATCAGGCATGCATATCTGAGTTTTGGTCCCCCCCCAGGCCCGGACATCGCTACTTTCCTTGATTGGCCTCACTTCGGTCAGAGTTCAACCCATGCCTCTCGCTTTGCTTCGCGCTAGCTTGTCTCACTGAAACCACCTTCTGGACATGCCTCTTCTCCTAACCAATAGGCGCCAATGAAAGAGTTGGGGGAGTGAGTGGGAATAGTGCCGAATTGAATCCATTCCCTTTCCCGCGGGTGGGCAAATATCATTCATAGAATTCAGTGAGTACCTCGTCCTAGTCCCCAGTGGGAGAAGCAGCCAATGAGTTCCATCTTTCCCGGGCAGGTGAACTAAGAATGAGAAATGTTTGTTCCATTCCTGTGCCCGTGACCCTTTAGATTGAGAAATGGCGTATATATAGGTAAAGCGAAGAAGTCCGATCTCTCGGCTAGGCCAAAGCTCTCTCTTTGCTCACTGTCAGGAGATGAAGAAGGAAGCCTAAGCTACATAAGGTCTTCTCTCGCTTCTTTCCTAACCAGAGGGTCAGATGGAAGCATCTCTCTCACATCTCCTTGCTAGCATGGGATAGTGAGTGACCATGGCATCTCCAATCTCAGAGTACGTAGCGAACACTTCCGGTCCGGGCACTTCTTCATGTACACGTATCGTCTTCATCCGCTCCATCTCGTCTGATTCTAAGGACACCGGTTTGTTTCATTTCTGGGTGGCGCCGGCAACTTCCCTATTGATAGCTCTTTTTCGACATAGGAATAGGACCGACGAGCCAGTCTTTTTAAGATAAGAATCGATTCTTAGTTTCCCGCTTCTAACGCGACTTCTTTGGTGACCTTTCCCCCAACGAACTTTTCGAAGCGCAGTGTACGAACGAAGCGAAGCGAAGTGAAGGAAAAGAGAGGGTAGTAAAGAGGCTTGATAAAGGGTAGTGGTAGAGTCTCAGTACCACTGAAAGTGCGATAGGCGGGCAAACAAAGTACTTACTCCTATTCCACCGCCTATCGTATAGAGCTTTTGACTATCGGATTCGCACCTGTGTCAAAAGACTGTTTTAAGATAAGGCATTTCGCAAGCTTTCATCCCTATAGTCCCTTACAGGTCAATTACACCTTTCCTTCACTTCGCTTCTAAAGTTGGGGTTTTGACAGCAACAAAGGACCTTGTCTCCAAAGGAGTGAATTTAAGCAATTCCTTTTTCAGTAGGTCTCCCAAAGATGGGTCATCGAGTGAGTTCATCAAAAAATACCGGGTTTTGATGACTTGATAGTACGTCGAAATCGTGTATGCACTGGTTTTCATCCGGCTTTTAGCCTTGTCTTCAGACACTAGCTACAGAAGGAGTGACGACCAAAGGTCAGCGTGACACCCAGCTAAGGCATTTCTCCTATGTTCGAAGCAAAATGCTGTCGGCGTAGACCGCGAAGACGAAATGTCTGGAAAAGCTCTATTGCTATTTCACGAGGCAATCCACATCGATGTAATGAAAGCGAGGGGCCAACGACAATGACAGAACGCTCCGAATAATCAACCCCTTTGCCTTCGACGGACCCAAAACTAACATGTAAAAGACCATACTTGCTAATCTCCGCAAAACGAAGAGGCATACATAGGAAAAGGGGGAGACGATCGAGCAGCCAAAATGAACCATCCAACGGTTCCTAAAAACAATACCTTCAGGCAACTGAGTTGAATGCAGAGGGAGTTGCATGCTGAACCCTATACTCTACCACAAAGGCGGTAGAAAGTGTACCTAGCTGGAGCTTATTGATTCTTTAACCGCTTTCTATGACTGAACTTCGCTTCGTTCGATGCAATTGACCTATCTTTTTGATGGAATTGAATCCCAGATGAAATTGCTACTGCACCATGGGCGGATGTGGCTCAGGTTGTTAAGGAGCCCCTTTGCTCTGTTTTCGTGAAGAGCCCGCTGTCTTCAAATAGTGAGGTTGGTATGAGCCCTTGGTCTTATGGGTATGGAAGGAAAGGTTTAAAGATCTCGACTGTGAAGGAGAGGAATTTAAGCAAGACATAAGATAAGAACAGATGAAGCCCTTGTAAAGGGCGATTTACCATCTTGCTTATCCATTGATAAGTTCTCGTCATCCATTTATATATAGCCACCTTGACTAGCATCTCTTACAGTTCGTATAGCAGCATACCTTCCATTTCGAGATCCAGAGCATCCACTTTCAATTCGGAGAACCATTTCGTGAGAGGGAAAGAACCATCTATCATTGGTTTGTCAACCACAGCCGATATAGGGAAGGCATCGAGTCCATCTATTCATGGGATGCTATCCCCTGCCTGAACCAACCTTTAAAGTCAGTAGTCGATCCGGAGCTTTCTCGTGCCGGGGTAAGAGATAGCAAAACTGCTGATACTCCACTTTCGCGTCAAGTTGCGTCCGAATGATCCATCCGAGTTAGCGTCTGCTTCTGCTTCAGCATTCACTGATCCACCAACAATTGAAAGAAAACATTGACAAAGGATCTCCCCCAACGAACGAAGCGAAGCGAAGTGAAGGAAAGGTGTAATTGACCTAGCTTCCCTTTCATCTTCCTTAACTGCTATATAGATGAGGGAAAGGGGAACTCTGTAGATTCACATTCCTCAACAGCTAGGTTCGATGTAATTGACCTTTCTGTTGAGGCCAATACTGCTTACCTTTCTTAGTGCGATCCTGCTACTGTAGTGGAATTAACTGATACTAGGAAAGCAACTGCTACTTCTTCTCCAGGAGATGGAACAACAGCAACTAGTGAATTGACTGTCATATGCCTCTACTGCAACAGCTATTACATAACCTGTACTTTTCTCAACTGGAACTAATGAATTGATGCTATAGTTGACTTTGAACTCCCCCTTGGAATGCTTTCAGCTATTATATTTCCAGCTGAAGATGGAACTACTAAAAGAAGTATAATAGAGTTTGCTAATATGACCATAAGAGAGTTCTCTCCTATTGAGAACTCTTTCGTTGTACTGCTACTAGGCGTTTAATCGATCGGTCTTCAGTCTGTTCTCTGTCCACATTCATCTCTGTGTCTTTTCAAGCGAGCAAGATAGGACTAAGGCAAGGGCTAGAGCCTGTGAAGTTGGAGAAAGTTTTTGATCTTATATCATAAGGGATTACCCAACGAACGAAGCGAAGCGCAGTGAAGTCAAAGAATGAAAAAGCTCAGCCCATTGACAAGAGTGAAACTGAACAAAATGGCATTGTTCCATTTCATTACGTTTATAAAGCAAGGAAGGCAATAGCGGTAGCCAGCAAGCAAGCAAAGGAGTCAAGCCAGTATAGTATGCTTTCTAATAACCTTCCTCGCCGAATGGAATGCAGCAACTACCTGCTGGTAAGAAGAAAGAAAGAATGCATGAGAGACGAAGTAAAGAAGATCCAATAAGATAGGCTTTATCGGAATCTTGTAAAGAAAGGAATCGAGCCTGCATCTCCGCTATGCCCCATCTGTGCTCTTGGTGGGTATCCTTAACCGTTGATTCAATTTTCCACGCTCACTGCCGGAGTGATATAAAACGCTTGAACTAATAGAACCAACCGGTGCTACCGACTCTATTCCATATGCGGAGTGGGAGTTCCGGTTTACTTTGAAGGCAGAAGAGCTAGCCCTCCGCATGTTTAGATTAGCCTTCGTTAGCTTAGTTCGAAATCCCCTTATATTGGTGTGAGGGTGCGCCACATGGGAGGCCCTACCGCTTGGTCGGTCCACAAAGAATATTCATTTATGTAAATGTATCTGTTGTCACGGAGCCTGCGAAGGCCATGAACATCCCCAAAAACGTACTTTTTTGAAAGGCAATCCGCAATCAATGAAACTAACTATACTAATTCAGTAAGACCAAGACCTTACATACGGAATACATAATATGGCAAAGCAAACATGGAAAGCACAATCAGTATCAGTACGAGTGGGGGGCCGTTGTTGGAACATAATGCTTGGCTGGCGAAGTCGTGGAATTCGGTAGGTACGTCGCTTTGGCTTTTTTCTTTAGAAATGTCTTTCTGGTTGGCTAGTCAACGGCTGGCCCTTGAATGAGTGTGCTTGGCTTGCTTTGGTACAATAAAATTACATATCGTACAGGCTGTCTTCAGAAAACAGAGCTGCGGGAGATTTTCGGAGCAGACCGGATCTCCCAACCAATAGAAACCTTGACTCCGGACCAAAGGGAAAGACAAGGCTGAGTTGCCCCTTCTACCATCTGAGGTGGAATACGGATCCTTCTTTTCTTTGCTGAGTTTGTTCTTTGGAATAGGACCTCTCACTCTATCTCATGTCGGAGAAGATTATGTATGAATTGGAATAGCCACGAACGTGTAAGAGGTCAGCTACTAAGTGGATTTCGCTTTAAGGTATCTCTTGATCGAAGGGTTCAAGCCGCTAAAGCGGAAACTGCTATCTCAATTACATCGATCCTTGTGGATTGATTGTGGGGGATTTAGGCGTGTCACGCCAACCATCTTCCAGTTCCTGGATAATCGTTCCCGGATAATGCTTGCCGCAGGGGCTAACCCTATCTTCGCGCTTTCCTATTGAGATTGGATTTGAACCAATGACTTTTTCCGTATGAAAGCGAGACTCTAACCGTACAAACGAAGCGAAGCGAAGTGAAGTCATAAAGGAAGCAACCATATAACTGACGATATGGATTGAGTAGCGAGATCAGTTACACTAGCCCGGGCATGCCTTAGGTTCGATGTAATTGACCTCCTTTGAGTCGAGTCTTAAATCACTTTGGTATAGGAGTTATCCATATGAAGGGGTATTCCATGCTTTCTTGCTGCCTGCTTTTCAGTACTATGAGATGTGAGGATAGATGTAATTTAGATTTTGTCGCAGTGTGATTCTTCCCAAGACCTTTTGCCCTGGTTAGCCCACCTGTTCAACACGGTTGTCCCTACTCTCTATAGTCTCACAGATTTTTGGGAATAGCTTATTTGGTAAATCTTTGCCTTCCCATACTCTCAATTTTTGGATTGCTGCTGGTTTGGTGGTTTAATATCTTGGATAAAAAAGAAGTTGCGACATGAAAATGTCGATCTTTCTCTTGCTCGGATTCTTTTTCTTTCTTTGCTCCAGCTCAATTACATCGAGCCTCAGTAGGCTTTGTCCTTACTACATTTTGCCGTCCCAGCAGCACCCCTTTATCTAATTATCTCAACATCTCTATGCGGCTGCCACGGACTCCTCAAATTCTCCTAGTTGTCTGGTGTTCCCCCACAACTTACTACCATCTCCTAAACCTCTATGCCTCGACTTCCTTACAACCCCAGTCGTAACCACAACTGAGGGACAAAAAAGAAGACCTATGCTGGTGCTGGAGCCTCTATAAAGCGGGGCCATCGCTGCTTGGCTCTACTTCAACCACTACAACCTGACGGTTCCCTTGCAGCTAAAAGAATGCGATAGAACACCTTTTCTGACATCAGGAGATGAAAGCAGTCAAGCAGGTTCGATGTAATTGACTATTCGTCTTCACTTCCTCAAAAGTGCTAAAAAGAGCCCCTGAGTGCAGACCCATCCCCAAGGGACTAAACGCATTCAGTTATCTTTCAAAGAGCTTATTCGAGAACAACCTATTCTAAAAGCAACCTATTTGAATTTGAACTTCTTTTAGGGCTGCAGCGGTAATTGCAAACAGAAAGGGAGCACCGCTTACTCAAGCACTAGTACCGTCGTCGCATCCCACAGCTGATGAAAGAGTACCGGCAACTGGTTGAGCTTCTATTCTAGGATCAGATCTGCAGCGGAAATGCCATTAACATTAAAAGCGGGTAGGCAAAGGTTATTCTCGAAGCAGTGGGAACAGTAACAGCGGCAAGGGTTATTACCAACACTGGGTATTCCATACCCAGGGATGAAATACCAGCTTATTCCCCCAAAAGCAAGAGCGGATATGAGTACTCAAGCAGCGGCAGCATTCACAGCAGATTCAATAGCTGCCTATTCTTTCACAAGAACCATGGCATGAGATGCCTCTTCCTTCGCCTGCTAACAACCAGGGACAGAAGAGACTGCCTTACTTGACTGGCTCACGAATTACTATCTAACTACTATAAAGAGAAAGCCTTGGTACTGTACTGGCTTGCCCGGAAAGCAATTGAAAAGCGATGACACGGACAACCGGGAAGGGCAGCATTGATAAAGCCTCTTCTTGCTTGCACCGACGCTCTTTCAAAGAAAGCTATAAGAAAGACCAAGGCCCCTGGATTTCTTTCAAGATTTGGAAAGAAAGTGTTAGCTGGGTTAGCCTTGCAACGACGTGGTACATCGAATTACTCTTTCGAATCAATCTTTCTACCAATGATCTTACTGATCAGCAGCCCGATCAAGGTACTGCTCAGCCACGAAATCCCTGCTCAAGAAGGTTGGAATGGAACGCTAAGTGGTTCTATGTGAAAGCAATACAATAGAGGGTATGGAAAAGTGTTCAAAACTCAATTTTTTCATTCCTCAATCCCATTCGTAAGACCAGGATAGATGTAATTTAGATACTCTGCTTGTTTCGGAGCTTGACTGACCCATACTTTGACTTTCATTGGTGTACCACTAAACTTAGAAAGTGCTTCACCAGGTATTATAGGTGTGAGGCACGATTTGGCTCCAGCCATTTTACTACGAACCAAAAGGTCACGAACATACTGAGGCTGAGAAAGGTGTAACCCGGGGTATGAGTAAATACCTAGGCGCTAGATGAAGATTACTAAGATCTTGAAGAGAGAATTGAGTAGCTCAAGAGGCGCGTGCGGCTCATTCACCTTGGATGGATCGGCTGGTCCTGGCATTCTTTTGACACTGGACACTCAAGGAGGTGCTTGCCTACTAAGAACTAGTCCCACTGTCTATTACTCGGGTGCTGAGGCAACTAATAAGAAAGAAGCTTGGGGAGGAATCCATTAGCTATCTTCACTAGACGGACACCGATGGCGCAGATTTAGGCAAGGATTTTTTGAGAATGATTATTAGCCTTCAGAGAATATCCGCCAATATTAATAAAGAGTTTGAGATTGACCACCCACAAGACAAGAGTTTGACCACGGGATAAGGTTACCATTCCCAAAGAAAAGACCAGTTACGGACTTGTACTCTACAACATAAAAAAAGAGGACTGAATCGGCGATCCTTCGAATAGTTTACTCGACCTTCAAAGTCTTGTTCATCGCCAAGTAGGCTTCCTGAAAGGGCGAACAGTGGCCATGAAGAACGATAGCCAAGAGGTTGACCAGCAACAAATGAAATCCAACACTTAGGCTTTGTAATATCATTCTTTTCTAAGAAATTTAGATAAAAGATATTACAAGCTAAGGCAGAATTTACCACTGCTGATGCAAAGGAACGATCAAAGAAGTAGACCATGATCTCGAACATAAACAGCAAGGGCCACCTATCAGTGGCTGCTGTTAAGTCGAAACAATAGTTTACCC